ATTTTTTTCCTCCACCCCTAGTTAACACACACAATAATTTCTCTATAGTGAAGGAGCAGAAATAATGTCTCAAAACATCATTACAATAGAAGCCAGTGGGGTACACACTGAAACAAATGATGAAAATTGTCCATAGTCATTGACCATATGCGGTAAGGCTGTGCATTCATTTGTGGTTTTCCCTTTGAGGTGCCGAATTCTGAAATCACCATCCGGGTATTCGTTATGTTTCATCACAGGAAGGTGGCAAAAATCTAAAATAAAAATATACAAACCGACAATTACGCAGACAGTGATTTTTTTTTTGTCTTTTAAAAGGACTGTAAAATGTCATGGTTTTGCTTGTATTTGCAGGTAAATATGTATGTTTTATTACGCTTCGCTGGTGTGAAACAAGAGTGGCTTAACATGAGTGCTTTGCCAAAGACACACTGTTAAGCATGCAATAGGTAAGATGATAGAAACACAGAGTATGTTTCACTGACAAACTTTCACCTCCCTTCAAACATGTTGGCAGATCATTCACTCAGGAGAAAATATCTCATGTATTAAATGACCGTTCCTTATCAACATCCAGCGTTGTACCGGTTAGCTCTAGTTTTAACTCATGAGCTCTGAAGAGGCAGTCTCTGTTACTCTTCTAACATGAAATTCTACCAATTTCCAATATACATTACTGTGAAGGTTTTAGACACCTAAGCACATTATTTAAAACCATTTATATTGGCAATAAGTGTGTTTTGTGCTTGCAAAAAACACCATATATTATTAGAATAAGTGCAACTAAAACAAATACAGTGAAAATTAACACGAATTCCTTGTTTTCAAAAAAGTAGTTGAGTTTTAGTAGTAGAGTAGTGTGTTTTTCTGATTAAATAAACTTTTGTTGCTCTAATTTAAATCTAATAAATTTAATTTAAAACTCTAATTTGCAGGTACCTTAAACTTTTGCGCTTTAGCAGTAACATTTCTTGAAAAACTGTGAATAAAAAAGTGTGAATGCTACATGAGTGGAGAACTGTACGCTGCTTGTCTGGGCTGGCTTGCCATGAGCCTCTGGAAAGCTTCAAAAAAGAGAAATCAGTTTGCAAGCAGGAAATGTACTTGTTGGTTTTTTATTGACTTTTCTGAGTAGACATCAGCACATAGGCTGACTTTATAGTAGCTGTCGCCTGTTCGGCTGTTGTGCTTTACGGTGGTCTGTTACACCGAGGGGGATTAGATTACGTAAGAGTAAGACGCTTATAATATTTATTTTTGTCGTGAATGGGATTAACGTTTGCAGCACAAGTTGATGTGCACCATGTCCAGTGATTCCCAGTAAACCAATCTACGGGATCAATATTTGATGGAGATAAACTGTGTGGATCTGTAAGATGTGGTTCAGTTTGTCATAGGTGGTGTAAAGTACAGAGAGGTTTTTGCATTATGTTTTCAGAAGAGTGCTTGTCCTTTCACTCCTTCACTCATATGCTGCGTTCAACAGGCCTACGCCCTGGTGCTTGCTGGCCTCACCTGTTTGGCTACTCCCTTTAATAACAAGAATTGCACAGGCTTTTGTCTCGTGGCAGCGATAATGCACTTCAGGCCCAGTTTGTGCGCTAAGCGGTTCAGTTTATACCACACAACTCTGAACACCTTGTAGATTACTGGTTAAAGGAGTGAGGGCAAATCTGTAATCCATGTTTGCCCCGTTTAGAAATATAAGCCACTCTTGAATGTTGAAGGTGCGCACATGCCTGCGGTATTCCTGAAAAACTGGCTTGCTTTTGGAACTCTACAGCCATTATGTAAATAATGTAATCGGTAAGGAAGTAAGAGATGTGTGGTATGTTTTTAGGAAATGGAAAATATTTTGCACTTTTTCACACTGGCCTGGATTTTTGATTGGTTTCATTCTTTAACCTGCAACATTTCCCAAAGATACGCAGCAACATATGCAACAATTCGTTTTCATACACCAGACAACACAATGCAAATATCCTAAAATACTAAAACACATCAATAAAACAGGAAAATCAACCAGCAGCAAGACAACATTAGAACAGTATGTGAACTTTAAGGTATGGCTGAAGGATAAATCGTTTTTATATCGAATTCGCAATTTAAGAGATTTTTTTTTTTTTTAAATAACAGCCTACGCTCTGAAAAAAAAGGTCGTTCTTCAAGATTTTTAAAAAAGATGGTTCTTTAGTAAAGACAATTATTCTGTATAGAACCATGAACGCTCAGAGACCCATTTGCATGCTTAAATGGTTCTTTGCATGGTTATGTGGTGCCTCAGGACCATTGATGGAGAATGTGGTGTATATGGGTTTAGATAGCACCAAAGAGGGTTCTGCTGCTTGTAGCAACAGAAGAACATTTTGGTGCAATATAGAACCCTTTTCGAAAAGGTGCTATGTAGAACCATATACAATACATTCTCCATCAATCTAAAGAACCCTTTTTTCAGGCAGAGAACCCTTTAAGCATGAAAAGGGGCTTTGGTTGTTTCTGATTCTGTGTAGAACCATTGTCTTTAGTCTAGTCAAGTCAAGTCAAATTTATTTATATAGCGCCTTTTACAACAGATGTTGTCACAAAGCAATGTTACAGAGAATCCGGGTCCACGTCCCCAGTGAGCAAGCCTTGGCGACAGAGGCAAGGAAAAACTCCCTCAGCAGGAGGAAGAAACCTTGAGAGGAACCAGACTCAAAAGGGGAACCCATCCTCCTCTGGTCGACACTGGTTTACTAAAGAGTCATACTAAACATACTCAAAGAATCAATACTAAACATCTTTTGTAGGTCTGTACATTGTCAAAAACAACTTGAGCTTTAAGAGGAGAGATTAAACCTAATAACACAGAGCCTGTGAAATGCCTGTAGATAAGTTAGACCAATCAAAGGCAATCAGAGGCAGTGGATATTCTGGTCTTCTTGGCCAATCAGACTTGAATCTCAATTTATAAAAAAAGTAATTGCGATTTAAATTGGAGTCGTAATTTAAGTGTGAAAAATGGCACTAAGATATTTACCTCAGATCATCCAGCCCTACTTTAAGGAAGCCAAGAATAAAAGTTCCTGAGGTGTTAAGTTCACCTGAAGCAAATTCCAATTATAATGAGCAGCATTATACACTAAAAGTTTGTGGACACCTGCTCATCCAGTGTTTTTATTTTTTTTCTGTTTTTCTGAAATCAGTGGTATTAATAGGGAGTTTGCTGCAGTAACAGCCTCTACTCTTCTGAAAAGGCTTTTCACTATTTGTTGGAATATTGCTGTGATGATTTGATTGCATTCAGCCACAAGAGCAATAGTAAGGTTAGGTACTGATGTTAAATTGCGTTATCAACTAATGAAGCCTATTTTTCTTCTGTTCGATTTGGTATTTTTGAGTGAAACATGGCATCAAGGGGTCTCTGAGCTAGCTGTGTGTGGTCACTTGATGTTGGGTGATGGGAGGTGGAAATGGAATATGACATTATTGGTTTATATTATTTTTCCCTGAACACTGGTGCACAGTGATGTAACCAAAAGTCAAAAGATTTTTTAGAGGTGGGCAGTAAGGGAAGATTACAGGAAAAGAAGAATTTTGTCTTTTAAACAACATATGATGAATTATACTTAATATGACCAAGGACATAAACTAACAAGGTCATAATGGTCTGCTGACTTGTGCTAGAGCATTCTTGGATAATTAACTTTCACCTTCAGGTCCTGAGCTAAGTGCTCACTTCACCTCACATGAACTGTTCTTGCACCACAATTGCATTACCTGTGACTGATTTCTTATTGCTACTATTCTTCTCCCTGTCATGCTTGTGTGTTTCATCTTACTCTGTTCTGGTGTGACCGCTTCCACACTGTAAACAGCTGTGTGGCCTGAGCTCACCCTGATGTGGTTTAAGTTGGTTTGAGAAGAATGCCAATCTGATAGCTACTTGATGGCTTATTATAATAACAGAGGGCATCTTTGTGTCCAGAGAAACAATCAGGCATGTGAGGCACTGAAGGGCAGTGAGGTGGATGTCCGACTGGAAATACCAGTAAGGTTTGGGTCTCATCAGGTTAGCAAACGGATCATTAAACCAGGCTGATTCGTACTCATATAGATTCAATACATTCCAGTTGCAAATGAATTGTGAAAAAGTCTGTCTTACAAAAAATGATGATTATTTTTGATTATTAAGTTCGACTGTTTGATTTGTGGCTGATAAGAATCCAGCACAGAGAAAAGTCTGTATTAATAATCAGTGCTACTGTGTTTGTTTTGGTCTGTGTTGGCTCGGCTTGTATCACTTTATAGAGATTTATGGTATTTATAATATTCTAGGGTGGTAGAAATGCATTGCATTGATGTGTCTGTCTGAATGTGGCAGTACAGCTGCGTCAACTTTAGTATGTTAATTGTAAATTGTACTTAAGTATTTTAATTGTAAATTGTAGTTTTCTGTTTTCATAATTTGTCTCATCTGAACCACTGGGACACTAGCTGTATGGAAAATACTGCAAATTTTAAGACACTCTGGGCAACGGCTTTTAACAATAAGTGAATGAAACATTATGTGTACATATTGTTTAGTGTTATTTAGCAAGCTGTTTAAAGGTTGATTCTCTAGTTCATTGTCAGTTTTTTTTTCCCAACACATCGTCATTTTACTTATGAATAATTGATGATTGAATTGATGATTGATGACATCACACTGTCATAAAGGGCTAATTAATGTTCAGTAAAATATGCACTCATTATTTACCATCTCTAAAATACACGTTAATATAAAAAAGCAACTTTTAGGAGTATTTTCTCCATTGCCATATTCCATTGTGTAAATAGTTTCTTTTGTCACATTTTCATGTTAAGTGTATTTTTAATAATTCTGAATGTACCAAAGTCATCTGACTGAATTATGGTGAAACCATTTCCTAAAGAATTAGAATCAAGTTGGTGTGGTCAAAGATGTGCACCTTTGTGTTTGTCACTTTTCTGATACATGTATATGTGTGCGTTTGTTGTAGGTGATTGAATCTCTGGGCATTATGATATACAAGGCCCTGGACTATGGCCTGAAGGAGAATGAGGAGAGGGAGCTCAGTCCTCCTCTGGAGCAGCTCATTGACCTTATGACCAACATGACAGACACAGAGTCGGATCCCTGCCCTGATGAAGGCTACGAAGCCACTGAGGAGGAAGATGAGGGGGAGGAAGATGAGGGCAAGGAAGAGCCAGAGGAGGTCTCCAGTATACGTGGTTACCGTGACATCATAATGGTAAGGGATGTTTCATTGAGCAGAAGGTCACTGAGAGAACACTGTTATATTTTGCATATGGGGAAAATAGTGTAAATTTGATTTTTGTGTAAATCATTGCAAGTTACCACAGAAGAAGCTGACAGTGGTGGCAAGCTGCTGCAGATGTTGAAATTAGGTCATGCTGCACTTAAATGGAGAATATTTGGTGCAGAACTCACTGACAACATTCAGTTTTGAATTGTCTTATGTAAATGCCACTTTCCTATTCGTGGAACTGGCTCCCTCAGGCTCTCTCTATCTCAGGTTTCGTACTGAGACTCACCACTGAGTTTTGCCTTGCTGATAGTTATTTATGTGCTGTAATAAGTATATCAACAGCAGCTGTGGATTTAGCTGTTTACTAACCAAACCGCACTCTGAGATGGAAAAAGGGCTGCCTTGTGTTATGTACACAGGCTAGTGGTACAGAGTTTCTTCTCTGTGTGAATGTGAACTGAGTTCTCGTGCTTTTGTCTCAGCCTTCGCTGCTGAGGTCCAGTGACATGGAGCCAGCTAAGAGAAATCAAATGATACGGCCAGTCTGATTCTTCTAATTTAACTCCTAACTTTGCTTCCAGAGTGCTGAGGTGCCAAAGGGATGGGGTTTATTTTTACTAGACTGTGTTTGGGTGGGTGCATGTTGGGTAAAGAGAGTGGAGGGGAAAAAACCATCCCCCTTGAAGGTACACAGCTCAGTGACTGTCTGAGTGCATTTATGTGGAATGATGGAAAAGAAAATACAGACTTCAGGCGGCTGAGCTTCTTCCAAGTGATCTTAATGTCCCTTACTTTGACTCCATATCTCATCATGCATACAGACTAAGGGTGGGTGATAAAGCAAAAATATAGCATCACAGTACTTTGCAGACATTTTCATGAGTCGTACACTAATGTGCTTCTGTTTATTTTACCAGTCAAAACGGCCATTAAGAACAAGTTATTCATTTTTCAGAAGATATTTCTGATTAGATTAGATGCAAGATAATCCACTTGCATACGGAAGGGGAAAGTCAAATGAAAGTAAGTGAAATTTGAAACAAATTACAAAACTGGAGCTCAAAAACCTGGTAGACCACCAAAACTGACTCCTTCAGATAACAGTACTTCAAACCTTCATCATTGAGAGAGAGAGGAGAATATCAAGCTCCACTCTTGTTACAGATCTGAAAAAATCCACAGGTGTTTCTGTGAGAGGACACTATGGGTCTGAAAGAATGTGTAGCTGTCCAGAAGCCATTACTGAGAAAAGGAAGTAGACAAAGAAGAAGAAAATTGACAAAACAAATGCAGAAGCTGCTGGTTTTCTCAATACAATGGTCTGACTACCCCAGAGTCCAGATCTCAACGTCATTAAATGTGTTTGGCATTACTTTGATTGTGAGAAGCAGAAAATGCAACCAACTTCTAAGACTGAAAAATATCCCAGCAGATAAGTGGACACCTAATATAAAAAATATATTGTATTTGGCTGTTGAGGCTTCTGTGTAATCTTCTGTTTTGTTTTCTTTTAACTGAAAATTTATAAACAGTGGCTGATCTCTGAGTTTTGCACAGAAGAGTATGTATTATAATATTAACTTTTTTAAGTTAACCAGGTGGAAAGGACAAAAAGCACCAGCAAAAGAAAGTGCCATGTTTTTAAAAAAAAAAATGATTAGCTGCTTGTTTCTATGTAGTTTATACTGGTGGTTGTCTTTCTTACAAGCTCTCTAAAATTGGACTGAATCTATCTCTATTTTGTAGTAAATGGAATTGTTCAGTGTTTTAGAAAAACTCACAATACTCATGAAATACTCAGCAAAAGCATATTATGATGTAAACCATGACCATAACAATAACATACCGCCATGTTACCCACCTCACTCACACACGCAGACCGCATGTGATAACATTCCTTGTTATGCATTCTGAATAGTTCAAACTGGAAGAGGAACAGGTTTTAAAGGTCATTTGCTCTTTTCTCTAAGTGTCACTGTTCAGAAAATTTTCCTAGTAAAGATCCTCAGAGTAGACATGAGTGCTTCAGCCGTGTCAGACATTCCTGAACAGGGCAGAGCACAGCAAGGTATGGGAAAAAATGCTATTGAGCCGGTTGGAGGTGTTGGTAGTGAGCCAAAATTAACATCAAGGCTCCATTCAGTCCTGTATTGTTATGCTTTTATGGTAATGACTTAGAGACTTGCATCAAATCTGACTCAAATCTTTCTTTAAACCTGCCAATTATTCAGGCTTTGGGTTGGGTGACCACAAGAATGCATTTAACAGCATAACCGTCTGAGTGGCTGAACAAAATGTACTCATCAGACACAGTCATGAATGTCTAGGGATTGGTTGTTGTTGACCGAATGTAAAGACAATTTATATTTAGGGAGAATAATAGCTTGTGCTTTAATCCAAAACACACAGTCTAGACCACTGACACAGCTCCCTGTATTACCTGTATTTTACGAAGCGGGCTGACAAAGAACCGGTCAGTGCCCCTGACTGATTGAATCTCCATTGTTAAAATGTCTGATGGGTTCACAGACGTCACACAGTGTAGGTGGCTCTGTTTTGGGAACAAGCAATATCAACAACAGTTTGTTTGCTGTAGCTACAATGACTTCAGAAAACAAAAGTGACCTGATATTTTAATACTGAGCCTAAGTGTTCTCCCCCTCATCATTACCTGTAGATAACTAGTTATTATATGGATGCTGGTTGGATATGGACGTAATGATTATTTTTGCCATCATTAGCCAGTTTGCTTATATGCCGCAGCACATATTTTAGGGCACAGGTACAGCTAGTACAACCCCCGTTTCCAAAAACGTTGGGATGCTATGCCGAATGCTCCTTTGTTGTATTTTTCGTTTCATAAAAATTAAAATGTTTTCAATGGGTGACATGTCTGGACTGCAGGCAGGCCAGTTTAGCACCTGGACACTTTTACTACAGAGCCATGCTGTAGTAAAGCTTGCAGAATATGGTTTGACATTGTCTTGCTGAAATAAGCAACACCTTCCCTGAAAAAGACGTCATCTGAATGGGAGCATGTGTTGTTCTAAAACCTGTGTATATTGCTCAGCGTTACAGATGCCTTCACAGATGTGCAAGTCACCCTTGCAAGGTGCGTTTATAACCCCCCCCCACACTATCACAGATGCTGGCTTTTTAACAGTGCGCTGATAAGGTGGTTCCTCTCCTTTTTATCCTGGAGGATATGTCATCTATGATTTCCAAAAAGAATTTCAAATTTTGATTTGTTGGACCACAGAACACGTACATTTGTGAATGCAGCGACAAACTGTGTTCACAGACAGTGGTTTTCGGAGGTGTTCTTGAGCTCATGCAGTGATTTCCAATACAGAATCATGTCTGTTGTTAATGCAGTGCTGCCTGGGGGCCCGAAGATCACGGCCATCCAGTACTGTTTTTTGGCCTCCTCCTTCGCATGCAAAGATTTTTCCATATTCCCTAAATCTTTTAACGATGTACTGTAGATAATGAAATTCCCAAGTTCTTTGATATTTTATGTTGTGAAACGTTATTTTTGAATTATTGCACTATTTGCCTGTGCAGTCTTTCACAGAGTGGTGAACTTCTTCTCATACTGGTGGCAGCTCAAAGTGCTTTGCAGATCAGTGAAAAAAAATGAACAGTAACTGAAGAAATTAAAGTTGAGTTTGATTTTCTTCTAGCATAGGTATTGTTCAGAAACAGCAATATCATGGATTTTTTTTTTTTTTTCTGTGCTGAGACCAGTACTGAAGTTAGTGTAAATGTGAATAATGGCTATGGAGTTAGAGAGGATTAAATTAAATCTCTGGTAAATTTACATTTCAAAAGAAAGCTCAAAATGTCCTTAATATCACTTCATATTTTCTTATGCAAAGCTCTGTGACTGGCAAACCTGCCAACAGACCTCTTTCAAGATGATCTGATATGGTCTAGTCCTGATTCTGATAATGAAAATGAGGTGCACTGGTCTGCTGTATGATACTGAAATATGAGAATTCTAAATCAAACTACAAGAGGAAGCATACACTTTATTGCAGCGGCCGTATGATCACTTACAAAGAAATCACTCCTGTGGTCCACCAATAATTGTAACTAAAAAGACCCTTTTCTTTCCTCAGCTGTGCACATCCCACCTCCCGAGTCCATTGGATGCTCCGAACCACTACCAGGCCGTGTGCCGGGCTCTGTATGCTGAGACCAGGGAGCTACGCACCTTCCTTGAGAAGATCAAGAGTGCCAAAGAGGTGATGCCTTTTATGTTATATTACATTACTGAATCAATAAGCCACATGGGGCTTTTATAATGGTTAGTGTTACACACAACACTGAGCTGAGTAAAACCACTGTACTGCACAGCCTTGAGTGGCTTATTGCTTTAATGAAATGGCAACAAAGTACAAAATGATAAAACACATCAAAGGTCAATAATTTATCACTAATAATTGTAGTAATCAAAGCAGTTCTTATTGCAAAGCAGGGCAGTTATTTAACAGTAGGTTTTGGTTGGCCATCAATGTGGTGACCAAAGATTATTCCATGAACACCATCACTTTTTTTAATAGCATAACTTTGCACATTAACACAGAATTTAATTGATGTGTGAGGCTCAGCCAGTCAGATTGTAGAACCAGAAATATCCGTTTGAAGAAGTTCTACACAGTAACTCGCAGTACATTCACTGCCAGATTTCTCAGTGCGTAACCTCTGAAATTGAGAGGGTCATACAGTTTTTGTTCATTGGAAGCAATAGGAAAGGCTGTATTCATCACTCTGTCTCAGCGTCTGGATCTTACTGAGTTGCGTCCTCTGTGGAAGGCAGACATTCAGGTAAAAAATAGTGCTGGGATCAGTTCCTTCCTCTGCTGAGGGCAGCAAGAGATCTGAATGACTACAGAGGTTCAGTTGCTTCTACATAATGCATTTTTAAAGACATCCATGCGTATAAGATAATACTTGTGATCACTGAATGTAGAGGACACTGTTCCAAAGGCTACAATCACTGAAGTAAGCAGTGGCAAATACGTTTAGATTACATTAGAAAATTTCATAAATTGCATGTTAGGGATGCACAATGATATCGTATCGTAATCATATCGCTATTGGTAGGTAATTGTCAAAAAAGGCAGTATCAGCAGATATCATATTGGTGATTATTGAAAAATATCAGCATTAGACAGATCATTAGGTTTTACCAATATTTCAAATAAAAGTTTTATAATGCAGTTATTATTTTTTAGGTGTTGCTGGGCTGCTCTGCTAAAATGTCTGCATTTTATTCATTTTGCTGCATTTGTAGACGTCCACAAATAAATATTACATTTCTCTGTAATGCTTATCCAGATGAATTTGGTCCCAATTTCTACGTCATTTAAATATGTATATATCAGCATCTGCTTCGTCATGAAAATGAAAAATACTGCATATCGGCATCGACTCAGAAATTTGTGTGGAAACAGAGGAACACAGCCATTCAAAGTGTGAAGTTTTCATTGTGTGTTTAAGAGATGAAAAGGGATGATTTATGTGTTGAAGAGAAAGGGATGATTAGAGAAGTGGATGCAAAATGGCTAGCTGTAAGCTGTCTTGATTGAGTCAAGCAGAGATTTAATTGAGCATTCACACTTTTTTCTGTATGCCTGCGGAGCTCTTGTGTCCTCTCATTCCAACAGTACAAATTAAATATATTGGAATATTATACTAACTTAAGCACAGCAGAGCTGCTGGATATTAATATCCTGCAGTTTAAAGCAGAAGCGCAAGCTAACAGTGTAATCAGCCGCGCAGTGTGTTTTGATTGGAGGCAGGGAGTGAGGTGGGGGTGTATATGAAGAAAATAACAAAAATAACAGCTGAAGTATAATGAAAAAACATTTTATTTCTATAGTAAGTGTGATATCATAATGTAGCATTGAATATTTTAGACATAAAGGTATATGAGTTATGCAATACTACAAAGTATAAAATAGGAACAAGCAATTCTCTTATTACCACTATTTATCATATGCCCTTTATTGGCTATTTTGGTGGTAATCATTATAAGTATGTACTTACTTTGTAGGTTTTAACGCATCTGTAGGTGAGACGAGAAGGCTGGGGTAAGCCTTATGCTTATTGTCTGAGTCATGTTACTCTATAGCTTGTCTCTCTGCTGTCCCACCCAGTAGCTGCTTAACATGGCTTAGTGAGAGGGGTTCCTCCACCACTCTGTCCCACTCTGTCAGCTGTTTGCTGAGGGATTGGCTTGTTATCCGCTTCCTCGTGATTACTCTCAAGGCAGTCACCAGCAGACAGCATACCTCTCGTGTCTGTTCGCGTAATGGGTTTGTGCTGGGTGTGCCAGTTTGCCTCGGGTCACGTGAAACTTTTTCAGCAGAATTCTACCTCTGCCTCGTACGGAAGGGAGTTATGAGTGACTCTGCCTGAGAACTACCTCAGGCATCTTAATGCTGTAGAACAATGTATACAGAGCTATGAGGTATTCTGGGGCTGTGTATAAAACCCTTATCGTACCAGGTGAACTTGCCAGGTGGAGTTAAAGACAAAGACTGTGTCAGCTCAGTAAGAAATAATATAGGGGTTGACCACATTGGCTTTTATTATGTAATACAGTAATGCTGACATGTAATAAGACATGTAAGGCCACTCATTATAGACATTTTCCAATGTATTGTTAAAACCACCTTGTATTGCACAGCCTTGAGTGGCTTATTACTTTAGTGAAACTGCAGCAAGATATAATAAAGGACAGTACTATATACCAACAATCAATAAATGATTCTATTTATTGTTAATAATAATCACAATAAAGAATTATTCTGAAGCTCATTAAAAGGAGTGGTTTTGGTTGTCAGGTAACATAATGCTCAAACATTTATTGCATGAACAATACAATGTTGTTTAATAACTTGATGCATTAATACAGAATTCAGCTAATATGTGTAGTGATATTTTTGTAACTTAGAATGTGGCTTAGCCAGATTTTAGAACTGGACCTGTCTGTTTAATAGTACTAGTGAGGGGCTTCAGTGTATAAGATGATTACAGTATAAACAGTCCAGATTCAGGGCTTGTGTTGGCATTTTAGTACAAAACGTGTTTATTCAGAAATACATAATCAAATAGCATGTACCCACCATGCACTTCAAACAGCTTCCCCTTATGGACGTTCCTAGGCATTCAGCCAAATAGTATGATTAGCACATTAGTTAAAACACATGACCAAATAAAACTGCAAACAGATTCTCACTTCCTGCATCCTACTGAAATAAACGTTGAGCACATATTGCAGGCGGCAGGCTGATGTGGGTGAGATGGAAGGTACTACAGTGGCTTTAGAGAAAGAAGGATAGAAACCGGGTGGAGGAAGGAGAGATGCTCATATGGTGGAGGAATTATAAAGAGGTGGAATCAGCATTTTCTCTCCAAGGCTTTCCTCTGATCTGAGGTTGACTGACAGAAAGAATCTGATCTGGTTCTGATGTTTCACACAGCCTCAGGCCACAGAAGACCCAGAATGCCTTTGTGAATATGTGTGTTTTATATGTATGAGAAGAACGTTCTGCTCTCTGCCGCATTTCTGGTGAAAGATGACTGCACACTAGACAGAGGGAATGAAAAGAGGCTCAGTGCTTTACTGAAGTGAATTTCTGCATGTTGTTTTTTGTGGTAACAGTGCTGTAAAGTGCTGATGTATGTTAAACAGCTGGAGTTTGGTTTGAGTTCATTTAGGAGAATAACACACAGCAGTACAGTGTTCAGCATCATTCATGTACATAAACATAGATCACAAATGCATTACAAATACCTGCAACAGTTACACCTGGAGAAACAGGGCTGTCTGGATTGATTATTTAAACTTGGTAACTTGATTTTCAATTAAAATGTACCTTCTTTAAGTTTGTGGTGATTTTGACAATTGTATATCATATTTTTAATTCTCCTAGTGTTCTCTCTCTTAGAGTAAGAAACAGAGCTGATAGTCATTTTATACTCGCGTAACACCACCACCAATAATAATGATAATAATAAATAGAGAATAAAGCGAGTTTTCCTGTAAAGTTATCATTTTGGAGACCTTTGGGGGTCATGGGCTGGAGGTTGAGGTTAGGGAACCAGGCTTGTGACTGGAAGGTTGCCGGTTCGATCCCCAGAGCCGACAGTAGATGACTGAAGTGCCCTTGAGCAAGGCACCTAACCCCCAACTGCTTCCTGGGTGCTGTGAATAGGGCTGCCCACCAGGCAAGTGTGCTCACTGCCCCTAGTGTGTGTGCATTCACTAGTGTGTAAGTGGTGTTTCACTGTACGAATGGGTCAAAATGCGGAGGTGAAATTTCCCCGCTGTGGGGCTAATAAGGGTCACTTAACTTAATAGTGCCATAGTTAAAAAATACTGTCACAAACTCTGAATACAGTAGTTTCTCACTCAGCAGTGCACTAAATCTGGTTAAACAGGACGAATTATGATAAGTACAATAAATGTGGTATTAATGTAGGAAATCACATCACTCAACATGTTTAAAAGTTAAGTGTGGGAATACTAATGTCTTGCTAGCTCTGTGCTTATAGTTACCCCTGTTATACTAACTGTTTTGCAGTGGATCAGTGGGCTTGGCAGATGTTCAGACAGTTAAAAAGCCACATTAGCTTTGCATTGATTGCGTCCTGCAGAGTTCAGTTCGATGTTGACACAGTTTGACATACTCTCACAACAGCACATATCAATGTACAGTCCAGGATGAATAAAACACTTTTCTGCAGTTGTGCTAAGGCTGAATCCCTGGCTAACTGAATGAGCTTTAATGCTGATTAAATTCTTTCTTTTCCCTCTTCTTTCAGAATTTGAGGCGTATGGAGGGAGAAACTCCTGAGGAGCCTGTCAGAGACCTGAATGAACTGCAGAATGCTGATTGGGTGAGAGCAAGCTTTTTTTGCACAAGCCCACAGGAGTTTAAATATAGAAAGCAGAATCTGACTCAGTGCTGAATGTGGGTGTTTGTGTATTAGTATAGGTTTATCGTCATCACTTGATAGCATATGTAGTTGTAGTAGTCGTTGGAGACATTTAGGGCTACCTTGTTTGGAGCAGACCTATCAAACTTTTTCTTTAGTTCAGTCATTTTGACAGGTGTGAACACTCCACTCGCACTGGTTCACATCTCTGGTTCAGTTTGCTGTTGGCGGTAATGTATTTTTATGAAGATCCACACCAAATGAGAGAATACAGCACAAGCAAAGATGCGCATTTTTACACATGTAAATTTTGAAACTCTAAAGACATTATTAATGGACATGTCTGCAGATGTATGTGTTCTGAGGTGTATGTGTTTTTGTGTGGTGCAGGCACGGTTCTGGGTGCAGGTAATGAGGGATCTGAGGAACGGAGTGAAGCTGAAGAAGGTTCAGGAGCGTCAGTATAACCCTCTGCCCATCGAGTACCAGCTCACTCCGTACGAGATGCTCATGGATGACATCCGCTCCAAACGCTACAAATTGCGTAAAGTCATGGTGCGTGTGTTTGTGTGTAATAAGTAATAATAATTTTGCCTATTACTTAAAAGGCCCATATCATGGGAAACTGAATTTTTCTCACTGTCATAAAATAGGTCTGATGTAGTATGTTGACATTGTTAAAACATTCTAACATATCTTCACTCCAGTCTTGAATTTATTGTTTCTGTGATGTCATGAAAACCCTCATTTACATATATCTGCCTATTTTGGTCTACAGCAGTTTAACTCTATCTGTTCTTGCTGATTTTAAGGGTTCTTTTAAACTAGTGATTCGCATGATTATTTTTTAGTGGCTATAATCTTGTTCTCGACTAATGGGCAAATGGTTTTTAATCTTTAATTGATGTATTCTTTTATAGCCTGTTAGCTTTGTTAGTTTTATCTTCTAACTTCACATTTTGAATGTTTGCCATGAGTATTTGCCAGGGACATAATTTTTTCAGACATAATGATTAAAGATATCATTTTAATGAGCCTGCAGTGCTAATCTTTAGAAGTTATCTGCTGTGGCTGACCTAATGGCATGCTGCTGTTCTCGAACATAAACTACTAGTTAAAGGGCCCATATCCTACATTTTTCATGTATTTTTTTCCTGATGTCCGGTTATGGCATTTGTGTAGGGTTATGTATCAAAAACAGTCATGATGCACTCTTACATGACCATTTTCCAGCCTATTTTATTCATTAGAATTAAAATTTTTTGTTACTGTGCCTTTAAGACTGATCTATAAATGACCTTTGTTCTGGTTGGCTGCCCTGTATTGCACTGGGCTGAAACACTGCTGTTGGCTTATCAGGCGGATATTTATGAATGTGCTGGTCGCATCACAAAAATATTGAAAAAAACATTTTGAAACAGTGTTTACAAACTACATCAAACTCTTATTTAAAAAAAAATAATAAAAAAAAAGCTCCATGCTTTGGGCTCCTTTACAGCTACTGTAATCAACTATGCTAAATTAGCGCTTGTTTTCTAGCTCATGTTAAAGCTTCAGCCTCAAGGATGCAGTACTCTTAAGTGGTGTGTTAATTTGTTATTATGAATCAATTTACGCCTTTGCTTCCACAATTTTTTATTAAATCAGTGACTGAGTATTTGTTAATTTAATAATAATTTTTTTATCCAAATGTGTAAATAATTCAAATACTAATTGCACTAAATTGCAGGGGCATGACAAGCATGTGTTGTGGGAACCAAAATGTGCACGTACTTGTGGTCCACTTGTGGTTTAAACTTTTATATTTAGAAATGGCTCACTGAGAAAATGAATATTATGACAATATTGTGGTGAGATATTGAGTTGCTAACATAAGCTAACTAATGGGATCGTGAGATCGGTGCCATGCTGTTGGAAAGTTCCTGTTTAGGAAGGATATGTCTACTTCAGTCTTTGGCGATCATAAGATCTAAACCAACCTTGATATTCCAACACATTTGTATGGCAAGTTTTCACGTTAAAGGCAGAGCCTTTCTGTGAGAGCTATTCATGGAACTTTTGCTTTCTCAAGTCAAACAGGGAAAGGCTGGTTTATCACTTTCCCCATTTCACTATTTCCTTGACTGAGTGTAGGAAAAGTCCCACATTTTGGTTCATACAGTTCACTTTTAATGTTCTGTGTACCAGTCATTTACACAGAGCAATATTTGCTCTTCTTATCAGAAGATGACTTGGTTGTTCTTTGAGTTAAATGATAAAGTTTTAATGGAATTTCACAAGATCAAGTCCACTATAGGACGTCAGAATACATGTTTGATATTGTTTTTATGTAGGAAGAGCAGCAGTTTGAAAAACTGCCACGTCATGGCTAATACCAATAAAAATTAAAGTGCTTGAATAACATGTGAAGTAAAAGGTCAGCCATTATTTGCCTTGCACACCTTTGCCCTCAGTAACCGATGCCTTAATAATTATGAGCAATGCTGTTTGTCTGCATAAAATACTTTTTTTATTTTGTTTGACTTTGTAAACACAATCTGTAGATGACTATAAGCCCATAGCAGAGATATTTCATGGGTCACAAGCCACAAGTTACTTTCTACAGCTACTGCGTGTTTTTGCTTTGTTCTGAACCTGTCTGTCATTGCAGCGGCACATTCTCGAATGATAGCGCTGGTGACCATGTTGCGTGAGGAGTGTGACCGTTGATCTTTGTTCTGACTCTCTTATGCAGGTGAATGGTGACATTCCTCCCAGGTTAAAGAAGAGTGCTCATGAGGTCATACTGGAATTCATACGTTCCAGACCTCCTCTCAATCCTGTGAGTGTATACACACCCACAAACACACACACACACACACACACGCGCACAAACAGAAGTAACATACTGTTTGAAAATGTAGACTTACTTATTAAATCATAAATCATACTAAATGATAATATTTACATACAATATGTATTTACAATAGTAATTCATATGTTTTCATTTTATATACAGTACTAATTTATATTGTTTTTTCTTTACACATTAAAAACTAGATATAGCATAGATTTAAGAGTAATAAACAACACACCTAGAAGCATTTTAATTCAACATTTCAAGCAGGGCCTGACTGTTGTATCAATAATATAACTGATAAGTTGTGCCACTTGGCAGTGTTGATAAACAAAATCCAGAAGTGTAAAAATTGAAGGGTGCTTCTAGGGCAACAGTATTATTTAAGACTGTGAGTTTCTGTTGTTTGAGTTTAGGAAGTATGATAATTGAGTATTAAGTCATATCAGTTAGTAAAGCACTGTAAAGCTAATGGATTATATCTAAAATATAAATATAAAATTACACTGACTCATATCGCTACAATCGCTGTCGTATCAACCACATCATTTTTGTATTAGTTAGAGCCCAAATTTAAAAATTTTGGGAACAACAAAAGATATTAAATGATAAATAATATACTGTAACTTACATAATTTACAATCATTTTTGTCCAAGTTATCTGCCTTGAGATTTGATCATCACTTTTGAAACATGAAGCATTTTGGATAGTATGTTTATTAATTTAGCAGACACTCTAATCCAGAGTGGCTTGCAATTTAATCATATTTCTGAAGTAGATGATTGTAGCATTAGGAGTCTTGCGTAAGGACTCTTATTGGTGCAGCACAAGGTGCTTGTCCAGGCAGGGAATCGAACCCCAGTTTGCTGCATGAAAGACAGCTGTATTACTACTATAGTACAGTTATTTTAGAATCTTATACAATTCTGCTCATCATTTTGGACTAAAATGTCTAAAATGTCTTTTTTTTTTTTCTAGCTTTCTGCTGAACGGTACTAACATATCACATTAATTTTTAATACATATATCTGCAGTCAAGTTGGGTTCATATTATTGAAAACATTGATTTTAAACTTTCTGAATGGTAGTGTATGCCTTTCTACCAGTTACTGGAGAAAGTATGAGTGCATACTTGTAAGTTGACTCTTACTAAAGACAAAAGACAAGGGCTTGGAAATACCCTGCATGCTTTCCTCTGACGTGGAGTTACTATTGTATTCTGTGTGTATGTGTATCTGTCTTTAGGTCTCAGCTCGCAAGCTAAAGCCCCACCCTCCGAGGCCCCCTAGCCTCCATGAGCGCATCCTGGAGGAGATCAAAGCTGAGAGGAAGCTCAGGCCTGTCTCTCCTGATATGATCCGTAGGAGCCGGCTTGGTTAGTGCTCTTGCACAATTTACACGCCCAGTTAAATGAAAACGTCCACTTCCAGCACACCCTGTAATGCATACAGTTGTAAGCAAAAGGGTAAACCCCTCTGGTACAATTTCACGTTTTGTTGATTTTACACATCAGAGAATTCGGTGACACTTCACTGTGTCTATTTATTTGCTGAGTGTAACATTTCGGAAAAAAACATAAAATATAAATCGTGCCATAACCTCTGCACAGGCCACATTTTATGTTTTGTTTTTCCCCATTATGTCACATTTAGTAAATAAAAAGTAACTGTGCATTAAAATGTGGAGAAGTGTGTTCTCTGTAGAGGATGTAGTAACTGACTTTCATGTAGAAAATCATCATACTGTGTCATCTAGCTAGGGGTGCCCAAACTTTTGCATACAACTGTGTATGTCTGCAAAAATCTATATGAATGCCTATTAGATTAGGAAAAAATGCAATGTCTTTATTTGTCCTTATTCATCTTAGTTTGTCTGTTTAGGAACTTAAGTATATTGGTAAAACTATATACGAATGAAGCAGTTCTGTGTAAACGGTGTGCCTCATAGGGTTCTATTAGCTAAAATACCAAAGAAATGTCATGTCATTTATTAAGAAGAGACTGTATGAGTGTACCTCAGTCAGAGAAAGAAGAGGTCAGCGCAGGTCATCCATGTGGCAGTGTGGATGCGTGACAGTGTGCCATTTTCTCATGCATGGCTGCCTCCTCCGCTGCTCTAATGTTGCCTCAAAGTCCTTACTGACATGATTTTTTGTTATTTGGCCCTGGCTCTCTCCTCCATGCTAATGCTTCATCCTTACTGTTCTGTTTGTGGCTTCTCACCAACAAACATGGATTTATATTTAATGTTCTTTCATTTTGTTTTTTATTGAATTATTAATCCATGTTATTATAAATAATATTACTTTTTGTTTCTGTAAAATGGCTGATGGTTTCATTTATTCGTGCCAATGTTATGCACACATGCTAGTAGGATACTTGTTTAGTGCTATTTTTAGTTCATCATTGGCTAACTTGTGGCTGTTATTGGGATAAATTTGGAAACAATGTGATTGAATCAGGACAAAGTAGAGCACATGCATTTGTTATTTTGGGCCATATTAATTGAAATTATATTAGTAACTTGTGCAGATTCATTCAGAAACTGCACTGACTGCCTGAAATGTTAACTTCAGGAAATGGTTGCCTTCTGTTTACTAAGGGTGTATTGATTTCAGTACAGTATTGGGAAAATTATAACTCTCTTCTAAGGGTGTCTTACATGGAAACCACTGTCAATGATCAAAACAAGGCATCTGGGTGCATCCTATCAGAGTACAGTGGGCAGAAAGGGGGCAGGGCTAATGCGCTTCACATACTCATGCTTTAATGACTGGGCTTCTTTTCTGAAGCTGCTTAAATTCAAGGGGATGCAATTTATGTCACAAAAACAAACCAGTATGCCCAAACAAGTATGTGTAGAATCTGTAGAAGAGACATCTTGACACACTGTCAGAACTGAAAATCATATTGAACTTGAAAATGTTTCATTACACCTACTGTTTCCTATGAATAATTTTAAATTGAAGGGCAGGCAATAGTTAATAGTTGCTTAACTTGTGTAAATGGGATGAGACAAAAGGATGTCTATATTTTAAAAAAAACCTTTAACTAATCTGCCTTACTAGATTAACAAATTGTTTCGTGATTTTGGTAAAACAGGGCTGCTTTAATGTATTTCTGCAATTTTGTAAAAAGCACCTCCCCAGGAGGGACAATACAGGTTTAGAGACATTACTGTCAACACTGTTGTATCGTCTTTCAGAGAGAAAGAGAAATGAGTGAGATCTTACACTGATAAAAATCATTATTGAGATAAAAAGTGTTAGATGTCATGTGTTTTCTTTCTGTTTACCTCTGTTATCTTGCTATTGTTATTTAATTCAATAACAGATTGTCTTTTTTTGCAACGCTGTTCCTAATACAACACAAGCACTAGTAATTTGATACTTTTTGTACTTCTGTACAGTTAGAGATTTCAGTTATGTAAACACACTGGACATGAATAGTTTTGGATGGGTTATTTTATGCCATAAAACTGTAAAACCAAAAAGCAATAACAATGAAGAGATTTTTTTTTCCTTTGGATAGGTAAACTGCATTTAAAAATAATCAAAAGCATATCATTGCTAATCTAGTCGTACTGCAGCTATATTTAGGTTTTCTAGTATAACAGAGTACAGTTTATCAGTTATGGTAAGTACAGTGCCATATATACGGATTAGTCCTGTCTGACTGAGTTAACCTGAAATTATTCGAAAAATCATATCAGGCATATCATGGTACAGTACTACTGTACAACTTGAAATCCTCATTATTTTCTGTGTACTTCTCATTGAAAGCTTTTGTTATATTGTAACTAACTTTAATTGCCTCATTTATTCTTTTCCTCTCCTTTCCCTGTTCTCCTTTAACACTGACCTGATCTCTCAGTAATGCGACCGCTTAGCATGTCTGTGAGTTTTGACTCATCAGGTAAAGACTCAGTGTGGCTTCTTTACCTCCGATCCTTTAGTTGATGTTGTCGTGTTAGACCTGCTGGTTTAGTAGCTTCTCCCCTCATCTGCTGCTGTAGAAAAGTACAGGTGTTTTAGTGCTGGTGCATCCACACACTGCTGAAGAGAAAGGAGAAAGGAAGGGGTCAATGCAGCATCCTCAGCCCAAGCCATCTACATTACATCAGGGTTACTCTACCCTTCTGTCAATGGCTAGTTTCTATTTAAGAAGCACTGAAAATTGAGACGCTACCTCCTGTCTTTTGAGTTCACATGCATTGATCTGGCAGCGTGTGCCTCCTTACAACACAAACCTCCTTAGTGTAGTCATTTTATAGCACAGTGGTTTGATTTATATTTTTACAGAATTACAGTTATGTATTTTTTCCCTGAATTGTTTAGCCCTAAGTGGTACTACTATATAGGGATGCACGGATTTGGGAATTGTGGGCCACTGTTTTTCATGTAAACATCTGTCAATGCTGATACCAGTGATGATTGATATATATATATATATATATATATATATATATATATATATATATATATATATATATATACACACACACACACACACACACACACACACACACACACACACACACACACACACACACACACATTTCGAAAATGGAAAAATCGGGACTAGATCCACCTGGGTTATATCAGTATTGGTTAAATCTAATCATCTGTCCGATGCTGTTGATTTTTTAAGCGAAGTTCTGCTTATACCAATATGATGCCACTTTTATTGTACATCCCTATTTTTTAATAATCAGTTAGATTTTTGTAACATTACATTTTGAATGTCTGTAGCAGTCTGCGATGAGTGTCTGCTAGCTGTTTTCAGACAAAACATTTTTGAACCAACATTGCGAATGTTAGCACTTAGCACTTAAACTACTGGCTAAAATAACTAAATGCGCTGGCTATCTTGACATATGTTGTAAGCATCAGTCCTACAAGCATTTAGTTGCAGACCACTGGTATAGGAGTTCCCATTAGATTAGCTGAGTGACGGTCTTGTTTTCTTATAGCATTTAAAAAGGGAATAAATAGGGATTAATCACAATGGTAGCTTCCACTCTCACGGCCAGCTTGCCATAATAATCCCAAGAGTGCAAGTCCAGATGATGCTGGACTCGCAATTATGTAACAGCAGCTCCCTTGTGCCACTGTTGACCTCAGCGCACATTGTCTAAGGCTGTGTGTCAGCCCCCAGTGGGCAGTTAGTGTGGCTGCTAGCTCTGACCCTCTTCTCCTCTCTCTCTTAGTGTACTCTTTGCCCCCACCACCATGCTGCACCATAAGTAATGAGTTGCTGCTTCTTTGCCCTCACTAGACTGTGTTTGAGGTTCTGTGTGCTAATATCCAGCTCCCACAGTGTGCTGCACTCTGACTGGCTAATGTCACTGTGTGTATTGTGCTTATTGGCTGAGCTCACTGTGTGATTGTGGCTGATTGGTTGATGTTTCACTGTGAATTTGGTTGATTTGGTTTATCAAGCTCCTCGGTCACAGCACAGCTCAGACAGGGCAGGCACTGTTGATAAAGCAGCAACACATGTTGGTGTTTTTGGGATCATATTGAAGAATATGTTCCTTTCTAGGCGCAGGCAAAAGCATGAGCACTCCTCAAGACTTGTTCCGAAGCTCAGGTAAAGTATTATAAAAGCACACATGAAATTCAGACCACTCGTACACTCGTCCTAGTGGAGTGTTGGTGAAAGTGGTTGAATTTTGTAAGCTTGAGTATGAGAAAGCCTTGCTCATATTAAGTGTGTGTAAGCAGTAGTCATACACCAGAGCTCACAGATTTCATGTTTTCTTCTAGCTGAGGGTTAGTCCAGTTTGTGTGCTGACGTAATTCTGAATCTTCGGGCATCAGTATTTAATGAAGTGTTACTTTTTCTGTGCTTTGCTCACCCACACAACTTGTACAATGCTTATACTGATCTGTGCAAAAATGAACATCCATTAAATGATCTTATGTATATAGTTCTGTAGTAGCACTTGAGTGTATGTCTGATATAAAGGCTGGCCTGATGGCTCAAATTTGCATTTGTAATTGTATCATACTGCTAGTGTGAATGGGTGATGTACAGATGGGTGACAAAATAAAGGAAAAACCAAGATAAAGTGTCTTAATAAAATGTTGGGACACCACAAGCCACCACTGCATGGATTCTACAAATACCTGAAACTGTACTGGAAGGATGGAGCACCATTCTTCCCTCAATAGGTGTTTTGATGATGGTGGAGTGCTCTCACGTTGGTCCAAAATCTCTGGTTTCCTTACGAGTGGCTCTAGTGCACAAGTGTTACGGTCTTTGAATGTGCGCTTTTGATTACAATTTTTAACCCCGTTTACTGATATGTTTCCCATAGATCTAAATGCATATGTTACTTTAGTCATAGTTCCTGTTGAAACATTACTTGAAGGTCAGCTAGAAAGTCTGCTCAGCCTTTCTTTATGTTACAGAGCTTCTTCTTTTGTCACCTGTCTGTATATATAGAACATGAAACAGGTCTGACTTTTGTGCTCTTGCACTATTAATGCATATGTCAGAGCTGGACGTAAACACGCCTCTACTGGCTGAATAACTCTTATTGCCACAGATCTTTGTTATCTAAAGATCTCCTAATTGAAATGACATGCAGGATTTCACTGTGAAAATCACTCATTTGTTCTATTCTATTCTGCTTGAGTCACAAGTTAGTATCATAGGGTCAGAATTGTGGCATGTGCAGTCATTTCATCAAATGAGATCTTAAAATGAGATCTAATTATCTATATTGCTGTTCTGTGTCTGACTGTGCCACATGATGCCTTGTACAGACTTATCCACCACTGATGGACCCAGGAAGTTGGCGGTCAGCACGCTTACCCTGTCTAATGGCACACCACCCGCTCACAGCCCTGTGAATGGAGTTGCTGGGGCTCAGCCACTCTCCCAGAGAAAGAGACTGCTCAAGGCACCGACGCTGGCCGAGCTAGACAGCTCTGACTCTGACGTGAGTGTGTCTATGTGTATGTCTGCCAGTTCTGAGTAGAATGATGGAAGCACCAAGCTACACAAAAACCTCCAATTGCGCTACTCTTATGTTTCATATGTCTAGTTTTTGTCAAGTAATGCAAGTTTTGTGTTTTATCAGCAGTGACATTTGTCAATGCTGTATTTTTTCAGTTTTTTTGCTTCTTGTCATGAGCAGTAGTGTTTCATATGCTGTAAATTCCTGTATTTGTTACCCAACCAAGTCATCATTGAAACATTAACGTGCCGTTTTCAAACTTATGGCTGTTTGAGATCAACAAGCTCCAAATTCCACATTAAACTAGAGAAGCTGAGCTTTCTGATGATACGTACTTCTCTTAGTAATACTGGGCATAATCTAAAATAGAATGCGAGTCAGCTTGGGCTGGGTATTATTTTAAATATTTTGATGCTTATTCCAATAGAAGATTCCTGGATTTTTGAATAATACTTTTTTTGACACCTTCATTTGAAGAAGAAATGAATGTGAGTTGCTGATTTATTTACGCTTCACAATGGCTTGCAGACTAATCAGTTAGTGCCATTGTTAATAGCATGTATACAAATGTGATTTAGACAGTGAGTTAATCTGGATTTTAGCACAAGCTCACTGATCCTGATAAGACCTCCTCCTTGGATATTGAAATTTGGTACTCTGTAGGATTTAAGTAATTCTCTACCATAAAAGGGATGAATTTCAATGTCCAGCCCTGATGTCAATATCCATTGATTACTACGTCTTAATTTTTATTATTAGTGTTTTGATGCCAGTCAGAGGATTAAATATACCAGCTCCAGAGAGGGCATGCTCTGTGTTATTCTTTTACACACTGTTTTCATCTTTTATATTAAATATTTCTGTTCAGTAATTGGCATGACTGACAAATTAAGTTTGTGCCGAATCAGAGGACACAGATCACTTGATGACACCACATTACAGTCTATATATAATGCTGATGGGGCCAGTTTTTTAAGGCTTGGGTCTTAAAGAGTTGATGTTAATTAGGAATAAATCATGAATAGATTATTTTCTAGGGCTTTGTCTTAATTGCAATGTTATGTAAGTTGTAATGGTCTTTGCAATGCCCACAGGAGGAGCCCAGCACCCGCCGGTCAGCCAGCAGCTCCAGTATGTCCACCTCAATGGTGGACGACACCTCTCCCGAGTCTGTCATGGGCAAGAAGAGTAAGACTTTGATTTCTATTTGGAAAAATAATGCTGTGGTTTCCTTTCTACAAGCACTGTAAAATTTTCTTCTCTATTTCCTTCTCTCTCTCTCTCTCTCTCTCTCTCTCTCTCTCTCTCGTTCTCTCTTTCTCTCTCTCTTTTTTCTCTTCAGGTCCTCCCCAGTTCCTCCCCATATCCTCCACCCCTCAGCCTGACCGGCGCACTGCTCCTCAGCGGAGGCACTCCATAGAGAAGGAAGCCCCCACCAGCATCCGGCCATTTGTGCCTCCATCTCGCCAGAGCTCCAGATCTCTAGTATGTTTCACCTCCATGGAGCTGTTCCACTGATTAAATCCTTGTTTATAATAGTTAGTTCAAAATCAAAACTGGTTATTATTGTGACCAGTTTTATTTTGGATAACAATGTCCATCTAAACTGAAGGCCTTTCATAGAGAGTATGTAGGTAGTAGTCCTAATATTCTACAGTATTAGAGCTGTAATTAAGATTCTTTCCTCCTTTGCATTCTGCTGTAGCTGCCATCGGAAAAGAAGGTAAATCACCCTTCCTGCCTCTCTCCATTTACTAACATTCAGACTTTGATAAGACCACACAGAATAAAGTGTTCCTAGCAAAGGGGACTCTAGAAGTTATTTTAAAACACAAGTGCACAGATCTGTAAGAGAGAAAAGGCATAAAACACTGAAATTAAATCACCAAAAACATAACATAATAATGGCATTTACTGGACAGCGTGATTGAAGACCACTCAAGGGAGAACATGCCTGGAAAACATAATTTAGGGGAATGAAAGCTGAACTGACCTAAGAAGAACCAGATACAATAGAATGAAATTGTAGAATTTAAAAGGAAATTAGACTATTGTATTTTTGGTATTTAAAGATGTATTTAATAAAAAACTAAATTTTTCCAAACTTTTTATTAAATGAGGCCTCTAAAAGTTATCACATTAAGGATTTGCTTAAAAGATCTTTGCTTTAGCAATTTCACAATTGATAATGGTTTGCATATGAATGATACAAAAAAACCCTTTACACAGTTAATTGCTGATACTGAAGAGACCAAAGTGGTTGGTGTAATGTAGTGGGTTAAAAACACTGCCCTCAATGCAGCAGACCAGGGTTTGATTCTGTGCCTAGGACAGCACACCACACTATGCCAGTAAGAGTCCTTGGGCAAAACTCCTAACGTTACATTCATCTACATATGTAACATGATTCATTTTTTAACTTACTCTGGGTAAGAGCGTTTGCCAAATACAAATGTAAATAACGTAATAGTACTTTTTGGATACCAATTATAGGTGTGAAATGTGGTCCCTAGTTAGATTCCCAGCTAGTTCACTACTCAATGAACCACAGACCACACAGGGTAAAGTGTTCCTAGCAAAGGGACACTTTTCTAGAAGGTCCTAGAAGGTATTTTAAAACACAAATACACAGAGCTGTAAGAGAGTAAAAGCATAAAGTACTGAAATGAAATCACCAAAATTGTAACATAACAGTGTTATTTCCTCTGATGAGTAGGCAGTGGGTTGTAATAATGTCCAACAAAACAGTGGATTACTGCTCAGACTACACGGATACTGTTACAACACTAATTCTTCTCTAACATTTGGTGTGTGTTGGTACATAAAAGCCAATATGTGGGTATTTCACAGTGTTGTTTTGACTTGTATGTGGTCATTTACTGGTAAAAAGAAGTTAGTATTACAAGTATTATGCAGATTGGCTTTTATGGGATCTATAATGAAATGGGTGCTGTACATTTACATTTGCCATTGGATGCATGTTTGTGGGGGCTCGGGAGTTTCAACTCACCATGCATTTACATTCGAGGCTTTGGGAATGGATTAGCTGGGTTGCAACACAAAACAGAACACTGCAGTGGGAGGTACCGCCCTAATGCCAGCTTATGTTGTTTTGTATTTGTGCCATTTCCATTTGTGCTATGGTTGTTTTGTTCACAAGGCATGTCCATTGCTTTGGTAATTTGGTTTGAGGTGTTCCCATTGCTCTGTTGCCTGTTGACGTATTTTTGTTGCCATGTTTGCTGTTGCCTTACACAATATCGGAATCTGCAAACATGACACGCATACATGTGAATGGCGGCAGGATGTCGGCTATTTTGCTCAGGTATGCTTTTAATGCTGTTTTATTATCCGTGTAGGAGGAATTTTGCTACCCTGTGGAGTGTCTGGCTCTGACAGTGGAGGAGGTGATGCACATCAGGCAGGTTCTGGTCAAAGCTGAACTGGAGAAGTTCCAGCAGTACAAAGACATCTACAACGCACTCAAGAAAGGAAAAGTGAGCACTGCTATAAACTCAGTCTAATGCTTATTCTGAACAAGGCCTCATGTCTTTTCCATTTCTAGTACTGCTTATTATGCAGAAATATGAATGATGATCAATATTTTGGTGAAGACATGACCCAGCCAGGTTACTACTATACGTGAACCTTTTTTTTTCTTCTCTCAGCTTTGTTTCTCCTGTCGGACAAAGAGATTCTCCATTTTTACCTGGTCCTACACCTGTCAGTTCTGCAAAAGGTATTGTTATTTTAATAAAATATCAAAATTAGTGATAAAATAAGTAGTTATTGTTACTGTGGATGGTTTAAGTTCTTAAAATCCCAGCTTAAATCTTAAGGTTTGCCATTTAATAACTACCTAGACTGCAATGCAAAATTGCTGAGGTAATCTTATGACATACAAGTGTGTAATAAAAGTTTGGGCCTTTTGACACATCCTGGCCATTTAAGGAATTAAAGCAGTGTTTCTTAATCCTGCCCCTGATGAGCTATTGCCTTGCAGTTTCATCTATTCCCTGACTCAGCACACCTGATTCAGCTCATTGATTTTCAAGCCCTGCATGAGCTATATCAGATGTGGATGCGCAGAGATTATTTTAAATTGTGCAGTGCTGGGGCTTTAACACTGGTTTAAGAATGGTGTGCTGAAGACTTCATTAAACTGTCTTGTTTTGCAGGCCTGTTTGTTCACAATGTTGTAAGAAGGTAAGTGTGACTCAACTTTAGTTTCATATATGTGTCCAGCTAATGGTGTAAACCTTATTTTTGAGTCTGTTATGTAATTGATGTGTGTATGTATTTCCATCTAAGATGAGGCTGCCCTCCAAACCTTATGCCAACCTGCCCATTTACTCTTTGGGTTCCACCACCCTGCCTAAGGAGGAGACTGGAGCCACAGCTCAGCCAGAGAAGGCCTCAGGCAGCCACCACCGCCACAGCCTGAATCGCTCCATCTCCAGGTAACTCACTCAATAAGGATCACCAGTCTTATCCACAAAGAGACGTTGTGGCTGCAGGTTTATATTCTAGCCAGGCAGGTGCATGCGTGAAGACTGACACCAACTGATTAAGCAAGTGAAATCAGGTGTACTCCAGCTCCTGCAGCCACACCAGCCCTGTATGGATAAGATTGTAGACCCATCTTATATATGTAACATAATGAACTGCTTTTTAAATGGAGAAAACCTTTCTTTAGGGTCAAATTAACTAAACAAAAAAAGCAGTTAATCATGATTAACAATGTTAATCGTTTTACAGCCCTAATGAACATATGAACATTACAGGGCATAGTGCTTTTTAAGTAGTAGTTACTGCACCCCTAGTAACTACTCGATATTTACAGATTTTCTAAGCATGGCGAGCGCTCATCTTCCAAGGACGAAGTGGAGCTGCCGAAGGAGCTGACAGAAGACTGGAGCACTATGGAGGTGTGCATGGACTGCAGGAAGTTCATCAACGACATCATCTCATCCAGCAAGCGCAGCTTGTCCCTGGCCACCAAACGTGCCCGTCTGAAGCGCAAAACCCAGTCCTTCTACATGTCCCCTTCCAACTCCAGGGATTTCCGTCCCTCAGAGCGGACTATTAATGAAGTATAAGGCACTCTTTTGCTGTGTTTCAGCACTGCACTCTACGGCAGCCACGTTAGCTGTCCCTCAATAAAGTGGTGGGAACTCTAATGATCTGGTCAAGTCATATGATTCATCTCATCTGTTTAGGTTGTTTTCGTCTTGGAGAATGATTCAGTGCTCTTTGTAAGAGTCCAAGACACTGACACTGTGTCAGGCATGATGGGTCTTGCATATGACAGCATGGCCAGATTAGAAGATCTCTAAGTCACTGTAGATTGTCTTTAATACCCCTCCTTTCCTCTTCCATTTAAGAAGTGCCAGAAGTGGCTGAAAGAATGAGCCTATCCTTCTTCCAGCATGGGTCCTTAATCAAACCAGCCCTGCTCCCCTGTCTCAGGAAAAGGTTGTCCAGTTTGGAGTTAAAGCTGTGGAAATGTACTTTGTACCACAGACTTTAAAGCTCATTTTTACCAGCTTTCTTCACATTACAGAGGTGCATGTTCTAACACTGAATGAACTCAGAGGTGATTTTAAGTTAACACTGGGAGAGAAAAGTTTTAAAAAAAGTTTCTGCTCAGAGCATTCAGTTGTTTATTGAATGTACGTTTTCATAAAGTATGAACCATACAACTGTATGTAAATAGTAAGCTGAAGGATCAGCCCACACATGTAAAAAATAAAGAAAAAAACAAACCACTTCTTATTGGCCCCACTCAGGGAGAAGTGAGTGAAGTAGTCAATCTCTGAGAGACTGACAGGCGGATTAGGTCTGGCCAGTCTGCCCTCCTTTGCCCATTTACGATTAACTCTGACCAAATGCTTTTTTCCTCATTTGGTGTTTGTTTAAACTGCTGCTTTGTTAGTCCTATGGTCCAAATTAGCGAACGTTTTTGATACCGGCAAAATTTCTTTTAGGATATATATATATATTTTTGCTCCACTTTAATGGCAGTGTTTATGAGAGTCAAAATGTGAGAGTCAAAATATGACCCCAGACCTTTTTCTAGGGATTGTTTGGATGCTAAATGATGAAGTTTTTAAGGAATAGTTTGCTTGTGCCAAAAAAAAAAAAAAATTGAACTGTGCGTGTCTTGGACCTATTGTATACAGGAAATATCATATTCTTAAACTAAAGGATGCAAATAGATTACTTTTGTAGGATTATGTTTAGAAACACACCATGTGTTCAAATCACACCTGATCTGCTTACCTAATAAATCTTGTAATCTCTTATTATATGTTCATATGGTTTTATATTAATATAATTATTGTAATTATTTCCATTGTTCTGTTTGCAAATAATTTTGTCATATTAATTATCACAGAGAGCACTTTCACAAGACAACAAAATGCTGCATAGGACACGGGACTTTTATCTTATGTTTCCAGTCAGTAATTGTAAGTGCCATGTAACATTCCAGAACTCCTATGACTACCCTGCTGGTGTGAAGCTGTTGAATTAACCATGAGCTGAAGCTCACTTAATCTTCAATACAGGGTTGAGGTATTATTCCTTCATTACCTAAACACAGACAAACACACAGTAGTTCAGTGTTTTGCAGGCTGGTCGATAGGCTGATACCTCTCATATAACTGTGCTATAAGTCCCATACTCTTCCGCTGACTGTATTGCTTCTCTGTAAATGATGAAGAGTGTGCATGTAAAAACTAAGGATCTGTTTTTTTAAAAAAGTGAATGAATTGACAATAAACAAACTTTAAGACTACTGTAGCAATTTTGAAAGTTGCCTTTTTTTTCTCTCTCACTGTTGAAGGGGAATTCCACCTTTTTTCAAACTTTCTGCATAATTCAATTGTTAAAGGGCCTAAAACAGATTTTTCTTCACTTTTTTGAAATAAGAATTTGATGTAGTATAGAAACTCTGTTAATGAAGTATAAGGCACTCTTGTGCTGTATTCCAGGACTGCACTCTGCAGCAGCCATGTTAGCTGTCCCTCAATAAAGTGGTGGGAACTCTAATGGTCTGGTCAAGTCATATGATTCATCTCATCTGTTTAGGTTGTTTTCGTCTTGGAGAATGATTCAGTGATCTTTGTAAGAGTCCAAGACACTGACACTGAAGAAAGAAACAAAGCTGCAAAAAAAAAAAAAAGACTTTTGAATTCAATGTTTCTGTAATGTCACATAAACCAACACATTTACATATATCCATCTATTCAGCCTACAGCAGTGTAGCTCTGCCCATTCACACTGAAGTTACTAGGTGTGTTTCAGCTTTGATTGCTGTTTAAATGAGACACCGTGCAGCCAATCAGAACAGTGGTTATTTACATATATCAGTGTTAAAGGCACAGTAACAAAAACCGCCTGTTTAATTTTAAGGAATAAAGAGGATAGAAAGCTGTCATGTAAAAATTAATAAAGAGAGGATGGAAAAGTTAAATTATGACTGTTTTTGGTACGTGTAACTGCACAAAAGTGAGATTATTCACAGTGGTGGTGATAGAAACCAGACGTCTGAAGCCTTAAATGCTTCTAAAAGCTATATCACAGAAAGTTATTGCAAGAAATGATCATAAATACGCTGCCTCATGCCTGAAACATTGTTTTATGATAGTTTTCAGAGAAGGCTTTGGGCTAAAATGTATTTTTAAAATCATGCAGGCTGTTATAAGGCAAAATAGTACCCAAAAAACATACTGTTTTAGACTAGCCACTATTTTACCATAATCAACACTACATATAAAAACTCAAAAGACATGTGAAAGTTCACTGGTTCTGATAGTGAATAAAATGGCTATATTTGTGTTGTAGACATCACAAACCCTGGTTCCTATCACCACCACTGTAAAGAAATTGAGTCAGTATGTTTCTCTGCAATTAACCATTTCACATCAAAACACTCTGACTTTGTTTACACCTCAGGGGTTGATTGATAAGAAAATTTAAAAAAAGGTGGAAATCCCCTTTAATTTAAATGGACTTGATCAGTGTACAGTCTTAGTCTTTATCTCTTGGATTCTGCAACCAGTACATTCACATTTCTGTACTTTTTAGCTAGTATTTAGTGACATCTAGTGGTAAAGTGTGAGCAGGCTACTGTACTGCTTTAATGGCAAAGAGCACTGGCCTTATACCTGCCTTACATAATTAAACTATCCTGTTAGAAGTGTATTATCCTCTAGACAGATGGCAGAATTGTGGAACGCTTGTTACTTAGTATTTGGTATTAGGTGAGGGGTGATGTTTTGTTGCTCTTGGACATCAAATTACAGCTTGCATTTCTTCCTGTAGGTGGCAGAATAATTGCAGTTGAAAGTGAATGTGGTTTCTTATCTTTCAGATGATTAGCAGTTTTCCTTTAAACTGGTTCTTTGCTGGATGTATTACGACACTGAGTCGAGGTTTGTGTGTGTAATTAGAAAGTTTAATCTTCACAAAAACACGTCACTGAGTACTTTGTCTTGGGGGCTAAAAAGGAGGCCAAAGGTTTGAGTGTAATCGGAGTCAGGCTGAGGTATCTTGCACTCTGACACTGCCCGTGCCTCACATATAACCCTGTGTCTATGTATTTCACTTTGTGGTAAAGAGAACAGTTCTAAGAATAACTGTCCATTAGGTAACGGCTGCTGCCTGTGGTGCACAAAAGGTCTGTGTCATTTGAAGTTCTCTGCTCTTAAACAAATTTTGTTCGTGTGTATCATTTACATTTACACAAATGAGCACATTCACTGTTCCCTTTACTAGAAACACCTACATTGTATATCTGTCCACTGGCCACTTTATTAGAAATGCCTTCAGTGCTATGCAAAACTCAGACCACCCTTTTGTTTAATTTCCAGTCAAACGGCCATCACGTACATGTTATTCATGTCAGACAAAACACACACACACACACACACACATATATATATATGTATATATGTATGTATATACCGATCAGGCATAACATTATGACCACCTCCTTGTTTCTACGCTCATTGTCCATTTTATCAGCTCCACTTACTATATAGGTGCACTTTGTAGTTCTACAATTACAGACTGTAGTCCGTCTGTTTCTGTTTCATCTGCTGCTGCTCAGTTTGTGTTGGTCTAGTCCTTCACCAGTGGTCACAGGACGCTGCCCACAGGACACTGTTGGCTGGATATTTTTGGTTGGTGGACTATTCTCAGTCCAGCAGTGACACTGAGGTGTTTGAAAAATCCAGCAGCACTGCTGTGTCTGATCCATTCAGACTAGCGCAACACACACTAACACACCACCAGCACATCAGTGTTACTGCAGTGCTGAGAATGATCCACCACCCAAATAGTACCTGTTCTGTGAGGGTCCATGGAGGTCCTGACCACTGAAGAACAGGGTAAAAGGGGGCTAACAAAGTATGCAGAGAAACAGATGGACTACAGTCTGTAATTGTAGAACTACAAAGTGCACCTATACAGTAAGTGGAGCTGATAAAGTGGACAATGAGCATAGAAACAAGGAGGTGGTCATAATGTTATGCCTGATCGGTGTATGTTTGTAATTTGTTTTGTAAATATAAGTTTCCTGCTTTTTTCATCCTGAAAAATGAATTACTTTTACTTAACCCCTTAACAAGCCATGGGCCCACCAGCTCAAAAATGTAGTACTCACTTCTGTTTCCAATAGTTTGTTAAGGTGTTAATGTACCTCATAGGTCCACTGTGTAGTAGTACAGTTACAGACTGTAGTACTGCCATCATACACAATGTCACCCCCCTCGACCCCATTCATGATTGGTCAGTTTTTCACCAATGCTGTTAACCAGGTATTATTTGGGTGGTGATTCATTTCCAGCACAGCCATGTCACACGATAGTGTGTGTGTGTGTGTGTGTGTGTGTGTGTGTGTGTGTGGTGCTGGTATGAATCTATCAGGTACAGCAGTGTTGATGGGATTTTTACACACATCAGTGTCACTACTAGGTTGAAAGTGGTTTATTCTCCAAACATATCTGGCCAATATCTTCTCTTTGGTCAGAAACTGACTGTTGATGAAGAACCAGGAGATGGTTCACACAAAAATGTGCATCAACAGATGAGCCCCAATGGCTGGGTAGGGGAAACAGGTAGGTTTAGGGCTTTCTATTACAGTGGCTGGTATAAACCTTTCAAATCAATGAAACGTGAAGTAATTCAAAGCAATCTGACAAAGCAGGCAGAAGCTGGCAGAACAGACTGAGTGGCAAAAAGCCAGAACACCTGAACCTTCTGACTAAACACAGCAATCAACATGAGAACATCCTAAATCACAGTCACAGTGTCCTACATGCTTTTGTGTCTTTTGAAGCTGCACTGCCCTCTCTGGTGGCTGGTGCTGTCCAGCTTTCTCGTTGGACTGTGCTGTGCCCATCTGCTGCAGCGCTGGCACTTTTGATGTGTGCAACGTGACACTTCAGCGTGTTCATGTCTCAGTCATTCTCTGTGGTCGTGCTTGATTCCATTCTAGTACTGGGAAACATGAGTCAGCCAAGGTGCTAAACGAGGCTCAGCCATGCTGTGGTCCAGACCATGCAGCAACGAAATTGAATACAGCTTATGTTACTTTCAGTAACACCTTGATGAGTTAAAATGTTCCAGAATTACACGGCCATAAAGACTAAACTGTCTACACTTCTAACAAACTTGACTCTGTATCCTACTTTAGTTCTGTACTTTATATCATCCCCTGAAGTCACTTATAACACAAATAACATCTGTGTGCTCTTATATACCAAAACCAGTCATAATTAATCTCTTTGTCCCTTAAAGCTGTTACGTGACTGTATCTTTAAGACTGATATATGTAAATGACCTCTGTTATCCTGTATTGTGCCTCATTCAAAAAGCAGCCTGGGCTAAAACACTCCTTATGACTTCAGCGTGAATGGGCGGAGCTAAACTACTATAGGCTAAAATAGGTGGATTTATGTAACTGCATTGTTTTTTTATGACATCACAGAAACAATTAAAAATAGGCTGTTATTATTACAGCTTAGCTACTAAAAATAGACGTTATGGACTGGAGAGTGAAGGTACTTCTTCTATGGTAGTAAGTACTTCAATCCAAATTGTCCAAAGGAAAGAAAAAACATATGTACGCTACTGTTCCAACATTTGGAGTCACTGTATTCAGTATAATAATAATAATAGTATACATTTTCTGGAGGATACATGCATAAATTAATTGCAGCATGATACAAAAACTCTGCCATAATGTAAGTTAATATCAGCAGTGTCCAAACTTTTTGTCTTGGGGGAACAAAATGCAATGTTTGTGGCCAAAAAGACAAAGTAATATATAGATAGGTTTCCGTTGGATAGAATGTACTTTATAACTTTGTATTCTGTTAATAAAATATGTAAAAAATACATTTTGAAAAGGGCCAAATCAATCGTCCTTGCAGGCCACGCTTTGGGCAGCCCTGTTTAAAATAATTTAAAAAGACATTTTAAACATGTCCACAGTAATAAACAGGCATCTGTTGAAAGTTAAATAAACCGTCTAAAATACTTTCTTATGCCTCATAAAATATCAGCAAATATGATAGATGATTCTAAATCGTAAATAAGACACTTTTTCAAATGTTCACTGAAATGTTGTTATGATTTTCACTGTAGTGTAAGTGGGTCAACACTTTCTAAGTTAACACATCCTTTGTTGTGAACAAACCTCTGCATGTTTTAATTCACATTTACTGCTTGTTTGCACAATTTAACATATTGGAAGAGAATAAAAATGTGGCCTGTGCAAAATGTTTTATGTATTTTTTTCTAATATGTTAAACTCAGCAAACAAATAGAACTTGTGCACTACAATTAGCAGAAAAAAACATATTTAAATGTGTTCTCTGTAGAAGATGTGCTAAATTATTTTCACTTAAAAAATAAACAAAACATGCAATTTAAACGGGGGTGTTCAAACTTTCACATACGACTGTATCAGCCACAAATTATATTGCCAAATGAGTCATGAGAAAAAACAAATGAGTTTCATTCCAAAATGTTTTTGAAAAGAATAATAGCTGATGTCTAATGGAAAACATATTTTTATTTCTCAACTAAAGGTAGTATTAAACCATATTGCTTAAACCAAATGCTTATATGTGTAAAGCTCACAACCAACAATGAATATCATGGAAAAAAAAGAAGTTCTTGAAAGCAGTGTGTAATGCGTTTTGCAACTAAACCCTTCAAATTATGCCTGTCAGTTGTTGTTATGACTTACATGACTACAACTGACAGGACTATGTAGGCCTGAAGGGTATATGAGATATATCATAAAGCTTGGAGCTAAAGTTAGCACTGAGGGTCACCATGACACCTGCTGTGTAGAGAGAAGACAGAGTTGAGAGTTAAAGGAAATTATCCAGTGTTTTCAAATCCCATCTCTATCTGCTATATCTGACACATATTGTTGATGGCCATAGACAATAATTTCAGCATTTCCCTGCATTTAGTAAAACCCACTGATTCAAAGCAAGCATAATAGAACTCACTGGACAGGTAGTTCAGTTTTCAGTGAACTGGTTTTCTTTTCTTTTCTTTTCTTTTTGCTAAATCCATATTCTACATATGTTCCTATATCCCTTTAAATGGAATAAATATAAGCATAAAAATAATGAATGGACAAAAAGGCATTCACCAGTGTGGATTTCTCTTCATTGCAACACTAGAAACATTTCAAGCAGTTTTAGGCCTTGTGTGGTGAAGCCTCACTTCACCAGATATGCAGTAAACACTTCTCATCAAAAGCAGAACTGAAAAAGAAACAAATAGTCTGTAAGGTAAGGAGACTGTAGACGTCAACATGTCTGTTTTTAGGTCATGGCACTGAAAACAGTCTGAGTCCTTGAAAATGTCATGACTGTTAAAGAAGCTCTTTTCCTGTGATAGTAAATTTTGTTCTATGGGACATGAAAATGCCCACACAGAGAGACAGAGTACAGACAGATATATGATAAGTGGACAACTCATCAAAGCTACATTTACCAATGTGAATTCTCAGACTGCAGAGGGACAACAAAAGCATATCTATGTTTTTTGACCATCATGAGGTTCAGTCTCCTTCCACCAGTCATGCAGTAAACACGTCATCAAAAGCAGCACTAAAAGATTTCAAGTCATCTTTGCAGAGCAACAGTTTTGGTGTGTCAGTTTCCAGTATTGTTGAACTTCACCATTTCCAGCCCTTCTCCCTCTGTTTCAGATGGAGTTTGCAGAAGAAATGGTCTTCTTGTCAAGTATACAGTATAAGGCTTTGCAGTCAACAGTAAATACATGCAAATACAAAGTGCAACACAGCAGCAGTCGCTGTTCTTCTAGCGTCTTTTCTGGGAGCTTCACAGCAGCTTTAGTAGTTTAGCCACTAACAGTTTTCCTTTTTGCTTTGAAGGAATGTGTCCTCATAAAAAGAGAGTTTAAATGAACTACAGTGTGGGACCATGGTGCACCAGCATACTGTAGAAGAATTTTATTTTCTCAGGGCCTCAGGTTTTTTTGGGGGGAATCCTAAATATTCATCTCAACATCTCAAGGCTGGAAAATTTTATGATATGCACTACTATTTACAAGTTTGGAATCAATACTGTTTTCAATAATATAAAGCTGATTTGATTACTGACAAGTGTGGAAAATGATTCTAATATACAGCTAATTTACAGCTTCAAATAACTAGTAGGACGCTGGAAAGATGTGTCCAAAATGATGAGTGGAGCTGTAAAAGATTCTATAATGACTGGGAAAACTCCATATCGTAGAATTAAGTTATAAAAAATGTAACAAACTCATCATAGTGAAGGTCAAATCTCAAGGCACACAAATTGACAAAAAATAATGTAAATACTATGATAATTATATAAAATATAACACTATATCTTTATATTTACCATTTTATTCACTACTTGTTCACAGAATATTATAGAATACTGAATGCAAAACTTAAAATACAGTTTTCCAAAAGCATCTTGTAATTCTCGCTCCACCATTTAAGAATCATCTTAGTGCTAAGATGCTTTTGGGAAACCCAGCTATGAATAGTTTGTTGTAAAATAAATAACAAAAATTACTTACACGGCAAGTGATTACAAACTTTTGAACATATTTGGTATTGTGGTAAGTTTTGTCGTGCTATGCTTTTCTCAGTATACCATGGGTATAATCAGTACTTTTACATAACTGATCAATGGCATGTATCATAAAAAAGACAGATTTAGACCAATTATAGAGCCTGTAAACAATAAAATCAGTGTAAAGTAACTGTATAAACTGCACAAGAACAAGTAGCAATAACACTTTACTTGAACTCTTAACATTAATATAACCAGGTCATAAACATGCAATGGCAGATGTCATATACTGTCATGAGTTGTAATGTCAGATTTTGTTCAGTAATATAACAGTGTCATGTCACGAGTGACTGTCATGACAGATGCCACAATGTTTGATGTCATGACGGCTAACTGGTGAACACAAAAATTAGCATAAGCTGTCATTACATTATGACATCTGTCATGACAATTACCGGTGAAGGTAACATGACACTTATATTTCTGAACAAAATCTGTCTTGACAACTCGGGGCAGCTAATGACATCTGTCATGATATATTTACACCAATGTTAGTGTTTTGTAGTGGGGTTCAAGTGAAGTGTTAGCCAAGTAGCAGATACATAGTTGAGAAGATGACTTTAAATAAATAGTTTGTTTTGCAAAGATCAAATTTAAAAAAAAATCATCAAACTAATAGTTTTTCATAGCATTTAAAAAACCTGGCACTACTGTATTGCTAGTGCATGTCTATTCCGAAATGGTTTACCAAAAATATTGTCATACATTTTGTGTATTGCATATGCCTTCAAGTATCATGATGTTATAATTTTGCCATATCACCCACCCTTGTCTCAAATATACTGCCAAAGTTTATGGTAATTTAAGCCATTTGAGAGGAGAAGATGGTGATGGAAAGTGCTTGAATGAGACACACTGGTCAGTGAAGGTTTTTCGGGTCACAGTTGTGCAGGGACAGCTGTGTGTTGTGCAAGTGTACTCCTGAGCGCACTCCCGGGACATTACACTGTGACACAGCCACTCATCAGCTCAAATCTCCTTTGATTTAAGACCCTACAGATGCTCTGAGCTTCAGTAGCATACCATCAAAGCCACAGCTGACATGAGACTGGACCTGCAAGGGGATGCAAACCTTCTCAAATGGTTTTCCAGTTTCATCTGTGGCACTTCATTTGATTTTTTTTGTGCAAGGGAGTTAACTGGTCGCCCAGCCAGTGGTTATAGTCTCCCCTCTCATCAGTCATGGTGGGTTTGGGCGGTTGGAGACACAGATGAGGGCCAGTGAGCCATGGTCAAACAGCTTGTACGGCAAAGAACCTTTAGATGTCCATACGTCCGCTTTAGGGTCATAACACTCGAAGCAGTCAGAGTCTTCTATGATGTCGTGGCTGTTGAGAAAGCGGCCCCCAGTCACGTAGACCTTGTTGTTGATGACAGTAGCTGAGTGGTGCATCCTCCTCTCCCTCATGTTCTCACATTTCACAAACTTGTTGGCTTTGGTGTCATAGGCGATCACTCTTCTTGTGTACCCTTCATTCAAGAAAAAGGTCAGAATAAGGTACTTAGAACTTAGAAACACAATGAATTTCCATGGCATTTTTCTAATAATGTAAAGCCCTTTGTTATATCATGGCCTTGAGAATATATTAAATGTGTATTGATTCATTTATAATGTAAAATTGTTTTGCATTTTTGACCAAAATAACTTTTGATGTTAGATTACAAGAATACCTTGATTCACCAAAACACCCACAGAAACACTCATGTGGAACTGTGATTGGTCAAGATGTCCAAAGCACACAATATAGAAAAAACAGATTAAAGGGATTTAGCTACATTTGTATATTACAGCCTTCTGCAATATCAATGTCTAATCTAAGGTCAATGTCTCAATAAAGATAATAAGGACATTCTGGCCTAAAATGAGATGTCCCTTAGACTTGTTCATAAAGTTATACAGTTTTTATGTTTTTGTCCATCAATGTTCATCATACAACCATTGGCAATCCCAGTGGAGTCAACCAATCCTGACAGCTGGCTTAACCACAGACCTATAGGCTGATAAACACAACCAAGCTAGCTCTAGTGAAACTCTTATCTAACTGTAATCATGAAGAAAACAGCTATTCTATCTTTATTTGGCACAAAATGGACACCACAGACAAGTTCTTACCCTTTCAGCCAGAGAAAAGAAGATAAACTGAGGTAAGGTGTCTATGTAGCCAGCTACCTTGCTTAACTTGTTGCTTAGCTTGTTGTCCTCCTCATCTGACAAGTCATTTCTGTTAATTGAGTTATGCATTATATCAACTGTATTGATGATTTTACAGCTACCCCAGTTATATGGCTGCAGTAAGATATTCAGCTCCCTACCAGTAATGTTGCTATCTGATTTCCTTCTGCATTCACCAGCTAATAGAAGAAAATAATAATAAAAATAATAAAAAATCACCCTAAAGCAGGTATAGCTTTTCAAAAGTTCCTTCTACCTTCAAGATGCATCATCAGAAGGAATTTTACGAATTCTTAAACCAGAAAAGGACTTTCGAAGTCTCTAAGGGCCACTGTAGAATGAGAGCCAGCATGTTTACACCAGATGCTACATGGATGGTTTTAGCCTATCCTTTTAATAAACAATATAATGTACAGTCTTAAAAGACTTGAATACTGAGCTCACCTCCAATGATGTAAATCTTGTCTTCTATGACAGCAGCAGGTGCACAGACATTCTTCACTGTCCTTGTCTCCAGTCTAGACCACTGGTTTCGTGAGATGTGATAAACCTTGGAAAAGTGAGAGATATTTGACTCATTAGGAGAAATCAGACTATGATTAATGTGAGCAAATCATAGATTAATTCTCTGCCTAGTTACCTGTATTAATCTCACTGGATTCTGCATGGAATCCTCCCCTCCAAATACATAGATCCTCTGGTCATTGGCAGCCACAGCAGGATGTAGGACCGCTGTGGGCATAGGGGCCATGGCCTCCCACTGGTTGAACATGCTGTTGTAGCGCTCCACTGTGTTTGATATCTGTTTGTCAGCTCCTATTCCTCCCAGAGCGAAGATGAAGTGCAGGTAGGACACGCTCTGATGGGCGTAACGTGGCTCCAGCATGGGCTCAGCCGTCCTCCACTGGTTAGTCTTCAATGACAGAGTATAGACAGTTGCGCTAACTGCACTGTCTCCAGATGCCAGGCTGAGACTGAGGCCTCCAACCACATACAGAATGCTGTGTATACAGACATAAGCGGCCTTGTACAGACGTAGGGGCAGCTTGGCCAGCCACTGCCAGCGTTGGGTGCGTTCATCATAGAGCAGCGCCTCTCTGGAAGTCTGCTCGTTGTTCTTGCGGCCCCCGACTACCACTAAAGTCTCTCGGCAGGTGTAGCGGCGAGGCGTGGTCCACAGGGGCTTCAGCTCACGGGTACATTTGGCACTAACCGAAAACATTAGACGCCGCACGGACTCAATGATCTCAGTGCAGAGCGTGGAGGACTGGACAAGTGGGTCATTGGCTATGAACTGGAAGAGATATGTAGGGTGGATGTAACGCAAGCGCACCTTCTTGAAGAGGTCATGAATGGCACCTCGTCGAGAAAAAGGGTCATGGTGGATCCAGGCCAGAAGAGTCTCAAACACTTGCTCTTCCTCTGCACAAAGCCTGTCATCCTCCAGATAACACATAAGCTCGGGCAGGGAAAGCTCACAGAAGTCCTCAGAGGCAGCTACATCTGAGAAGCAACGCACGGCCATCTCCTTGGCCCTGTCCCTCAAGCTATCGCAGTGCAGGATCTCTGACAAACGAATCATGCTCAGGCAGTTGTCAGGGTTCAGCTGCTCCTGCAGAAAGGCTGAGCAAGCCTCGAAGAGCCTCACATACTGCAGCATGGAAGCGGCCTGCATCAGAGGCAGCACCAGCTCCATTGTTATGGTGATGCTTCCTGTGTAGACGTAGTCCACAATCCCTGCTAGCACCTCAGAGCTGATGCCCTTTAGGTCCACTCGGGCCTGGCTGCTCTCACGGAAGTTACTGCAGAACATGGCACGGAAGTACGGGCTGCTGGACACCAGCACGTTCCTATGACAGGGAATCTCTTTGTCCTCCGTGCACAGGAGCACGTCAGTGAAGATGCGCTCCAGTCTGAGGAGGTTCAGCTGGCACAGCAGGTGGGCTGGAAGCTCCTGATCCTTGAATGGAAAGATCTCAAGTGATGAACAGGCCATTCTGTAAACAGTGAGTGAGAGTGAGAAGCACCGTGTGTTTAAACATTATAACAATGTAGTATATTTGTCATAAAGGACTACAATGACATTTTGACTGAGTTTCATTTACTTTATTATGTTTAATTTAGGTGCAAATAACATTAATCTCAAGCGAGAAAAGATGCTTTACAACAGATATAGCTACTAAATAATTTCCAAGTGAGTAATACAGTACCACTGTCAAAAGTGATAATAATTTTTTTATTCAAAAATAACTTTAAATAACACAAGGAACTGTTTCCAGACCCATATCATTTTAACCCAGATTTAAATTGACATTGCAGTTTACTCCATGACTAGGCCTAATCCATTTCCACAAAACTAACCCTTTAGGTTTAATAAAAAACAGACACTAAAGGTATTTTTAAAAATGTTGTTCAATATTTTAAGTATTTTAGGAACAACAAGGTGATATTAAATGATAAACAGGGAAATCCTCACGGCCTTCTGTGATTTCAGTAAAACAGAAATACTTCTCTGAATTTTTAGTTCATTTTCATTGAATAATCAACATTCTTGTTATACTTAAACTCTGTATTTTATTAGCATTATAGTAGTTCTCCTATTTTGTTTTGGTGGGAAACAAAAGGGTTTAATACTTCAAATGGCCAACAGAAAATTATCCAATTGGGATTATTTTTTTACAGCCAAGCTAGCTCTACTTCTGGTTAGGCCCAATGCAAGTTAAAATATATGTTAATAGGCTTCAAATAAAACTTTAATGTCTTTTGAAAACTTCAAACATCCATGTTTTATGTAGAACACCCAAAAATGTGCATGTTAATTGCAAGTTAGCTAAATGCTAACATAGAACTAGAATCCCATAGAGGCAAAAATTAGCATTATCATAGAGGTAAACTGTCTTGAATTTGAACATTTATGGCCTGATCTATAGGCTTAGCACTAATAATCACGGTTCACCACTGATGATAACTAATGTAACTGTCTGCTGTAGTTACGGTAATTGGTGGTAAAAGGATCAATGCTGTACACGGTTTCATTTTGGAATCATCTGTGGCCCAATGATCATATTTCAATCACTTTAAACATATGTGGAATATACCTTGTGTTGTATTATTAAAAACACCATTCAAAACATTTAAGTGGTAATGCGTGTTTACCTTTACTTTTGCAAGGTAATATTCCCCGAGTTGAAAATCCCATCTCCCCTGATTCATCCTAATAAATTCATGTAGCACTTGTGGGCCTCATCTTCATTTCAAAATTGATTTTATAAAAACGGTTGCATCATATCCCAGCTGTGTCTGAGCACACACCAGATTTGCCCTTGACAGCCTCACTGTTTGGACGAGGGCATTTCATGAGGCTATTATTGGCACTAAGTCGTCTAATCACCCCAGAGACAGCTACTGATTTTATTTCTCCCCCAGATCACACGCGCCACTCTGACTGCTATTTTGGGAAGTTAATCATTATTGTTTATTATTAACTGCCATTACTAAGACAGTGATGACAGAGGAGAACCAATGGTATTCCCCAGCCTTGTCCTGGAAAAAAACATATTACAATTTCTATTTAAATGGCACTTAAAAAAACTTTCTTAAAATAGTAAGGCTCTTGGGTTGCAAACGCACATGTACAAATTCAAAAATAGGAGTCATAATCTTGTAATCCAGTTTTAAATTGCTTGAATACATAATTGCTGACTGCCGCTGTAGGACTGAGTTAAAGCTTAAACACATATGAACTGGTTATGTTCAAGTACAAACATTTGGCATTTTTATTTATATAAACATATATATTATTCAATATACAAGGTAATGTTACCATGTTTCCACTTTCTCTCAAATTAACATCATAAAACAGACAGCAAAGCTATCAATGAAGTGATACATCTGTTCCCAAACACCATGAAGTGAAGTGTTTAGCTCAGTACTAGTTACACAGTACAGAAAAGTTCAAAATGAGCCTAATTAATATGCCGCAAATTTATACTATGTACTAAGCAATTTGGTTGATTATTTCCACAGATTGACCTACATAAATCCATATAACTGATCACAACAGACATAGAAATTGTAATAAATCAATTCAGATAATAAACTAATAAAATATTACATGGTTTCAGACCTAATCCAGATATCACTAAGGCAAATTTAAATAGAAACTGCCAAAATTAGCAAAATCTATTTACCGTTCAGAGTCAAACAACTTGTTCCTCAGAATTCTACTTGCTACAAGTTTGAAAAAGTTGCCTGTACCACCAAGCTTGAAAAAAATTCATGTTCTTACCTCAACTCAGTCCGTTCTTATCACTCACATTCCAATGTGTCTGGACAGAATCAGTCACAGTTCATCAGCATTAAGGCCAAAAACATCTCCCGCAGGTGTCGTTCTCAAGAAATAAAGGCAATGGCCGACAGGCGTGGGTAAAGAGAAAGGTTCATTAGGAGGTATTAGGAGCTTGCCATGAGACCGCTGTGTACATTCCAATTTCCGAGAATATTTCTGGAGGCTGCAAACGCCCCTGCCTTTGACCCTCCCCTTGTTTGTTCCCACAGTGGTTAGCCATGCACCATGTGCTTTGTGTGTTTACTATGGCAGGGACAGAGAGCCTAGCTTAGCCAGGGGACAGACACGGGCTTGGGGTCTGTGAACGCCCCTCGGTGGTCTTGTGTAACCCAGGAAGCTGGTAAATATAGAGCTGTGCTGATGGCTGGGCTGAGTGGGAAGAACAGCTGAATATCTAGGCCTGCTTACCTTGGTTTGCCTTGGATTAGGGAGGTGAGGAGGACTATGCTAGGTTGCCATTCACCTGCTACTCATTACTCTAGGCACAGGCGTATGGACTCGTCTGACCAAAGTGAAGTTTATACAGACCAAGGGCAAGGGCCTAGCTGCCACTCTGTATGTCTTAATGTGCCGTTGAGTCGGAGATAAGAAGTTAGGACCTTGAAAAGGATGTCATTCGAATTGCACCTATGTTATTTCTCACTGCCTCCGTCCCTTTACAACCTACAGCAAAAAAAAGAAGCCTACATATTGCAAAGCAGAAGATAAGACTGCTGCTGAGATGAAGCCAATTATTCAATGAAAGTATCTGACTGACTACATCACTAGCTACTTTGTAGAGGCAGAAATCAGGCTCCAGAAATCAGTTGTGTAGTCTACTGTCCACTGTCTTTAGTGGGAGGATTAGGCCAGTGGAAATCTGTCCCAGCATAATAAGAGACCAGGTGGTAATTATGTGTAAAAAATAAAAAAGCAATGCTGCACTCATTAGATATATTATCACTCTGTAGTGCTGTGATTTCAATCAGCTGCCTGTCATCTTTGCCTACAGCTTCTTTCCACAATTCGAGGTAGCAGATGGGACCTTGCTCGTTACTCCTGTCATCAGTTGCATCCACGGGTGAGTTACTGTCATGTTGATTCAACTGCACAGGGAAAGCCAAACAGATATGCATGTAGACAGATTAAGTAACACTAGTCCATGGGTGTGTGTAAGATTATCGTGTTGGGGAATGCACTGTGTCTTTACACCTACACAGCCACGCGCTGACTTACATACAAACTTACTGACTCAGATTTCTTTACAATGGTGCTCTGCAACACAAATATTTTAAAATATTTAATTCACCTAAACAGCCAGTGAACCTACACAGGTTTTTATATGTAATGTTGATAATAGTAAAATAATGGCAAATTTAAAAATATAAATTTTACTATTGAGTACTATTTTGCCTTACAATGCCCTGAATGTATCTGTACCCCATAAATTGATTTTCACAAATACAGTTTAAGACAAAACCTTTAAACCTTAATATAAAAAAAAAAAATACGTCTCAGACATCAGGCAATGTACTCGTAACCATTTCATGTAATAATGTTTCAGACGTCTAGTTCTTATCACCACTACTGTGATCAGTGGAATTCCCTTTTAAGTAGTTTTTGACCTGGAACTTTGGTACTTATGTGTCTCTATTCTAGTTGTTATTTGGAAAGGTGCTTTTACTTTTACTTAAGTCTTCATTTTACAGAAGTAATAATCCCTTATTATGAGAATATGAAACCAAAACCAACTGAATAAAGATTAACCAGACCTGTGAACAAAGAGCACTCAAAGAATGCTAGACTTTAGTCTACTAAAAAATTGTGTCTGTTTGTGTATTTTTCAGTCTAGCTTCATATTTCAATCCATTTTTTCTTTATTGTTAATAAAATCTTTCCACACTTTAACAATAAAAGAGATATTAGTCCCTGTACTGTTATAAGTTCAGATCAAATCAACAGAGTTTATATAAAGTGTAGCCAGTGGAGAAAAAGAAGATGAAATACTGAAAAAAATAAATCAACTCAAACAAAGACATATCAATAAAAGAAAGAAGGTATGAAAATTTAGGTACATATAATAAAACAGATTGTTTATACAAAAATGACATTCAGTTTTTCAAAGCCTTTGTACTGGAGGAAGTAGACAAAGATTTCAAATAACATGACTAAGTGACAAAATGTTGGTCTATTCTTTTGCACTCTACACTTATATATAAAGTACTTTGATAACAAAATTATTAAATTACATTTAAAAATTATTTTCAAGTTATTTATTCAATTGTAAACCCAAATAAAATATTTTCTAAATACAGTTTAAATGCACTATGAATGTCCAAAATAAAGTCCAAAATAAAGGTACAGATAATTGCCATAGTCCTTGAGTGTGGTCACAAAGGAAAAATGAGTGAAAAAGCATTTCTGGCTGTGAGTCACAAAAAATACAGTTTACATCAACTGGGACCTTTAATTTTTGTCACCAAAAGGGATTTTACTGGATACATTTGGTGATCAAGCTTGTAAGAAACCTCATAAAACCTTGGTTTATTTGTCAACAAATATGTATTGGAAAGTGTCCATATCCTCTTCCAAAAAATATTTGTTTCAACAAACTTGTTTCATTTTCTCTTTTATTTGCTCAGGCATTTTTAAATTGAAAGCAGAATATAGTACACAACATCAGATGCAAATTGAAAATTGTGCATACAGCAATATACAGAAATAAATTTGCAGGAGGGATATACATTTTTTCATAAAAATATGAAGTACATACATGCTTTAACAGTTTTCAGAGCTTTTTTGTTTTAAAGAGAGGTGGATTAATTAGTGATTACACACTGCAAAGCATCCATGATTTCTCCCAAATTTTAATCTACCACCATACTGACCCGCACCCCTCTATATGTCATTTTTCATCCCTCATTCCTCCCTTTTACATCCCTTAATTTTTGTCCACAACCAACCATATACCTTCCTTTGACTGACAGCCATCAAATTGCATGTACTCACTCAGGGCAGATCCCAAGCTCTAATCCACAGCCATACTGACCCGCACTCCTCTATGTGTCATTTTTTCATCGCTCGTTCCTCCCATAGTGTCCTATTCATTTTGGCACCCACCCAAGCCCTTCCCTTTGCCTGACAGCCACCAAACTTCATGTACTCACTTAGGGCAGGTGCCCAAGATCTAATCCAACATCTAATCCACAGCCACACTGACCCACATTGTGGGTCATACGTGTCGTTTTTTAATCCCTCATTCGTCCCATACAGTCACATTCAATTTTGCCCCTATATAGGTTCTATTATTTCATTTGCCCAGCAGCCACCAAACTGCATGTATTCACTTATGGCAGGTGCCCAAGCTCTTATCCATAGCCAAACTGACCCACACTCCTCTATGTGTCGTTTTTCAGCTCTCGTTCCTCCTGTAGAGTCCCATACATTCTCACCCACAGCCCCAGCTCTATTACTTCCTCTGCCCAACAGCCAACAAACTGCATATACTCACTCAGGGCAGGTCCCCAAGCTCTGATCCACAGCCATACTGACGAGCACTCCTCTGTGCGTCGTTTTTTCATCCCATGTTCCTCTCATAGACTCCGTAAACACCCCGAACACCACGGCAAACACCTAACAACACCTTACCAACTCTTATACCATATCAACCAACTATCAACACCTTGTTTCACACATATGTTTTTATCACATATGTTTCCACAATAAATGTTTCCACAGTAAACAATAATTTTCATCAATATTATGAACAACAAAGACACTTTTTTTGGTTTAGCCTGTTTTTTTTTCACAGATTGACAAGGCTAAAGTAAGTGAATAACTGCCTGTGTAGTTGCTACAGAATAAACAAGCTGTGTCAATGATATGTATAGTCGTATTTTATAATTATTTAATTATAATTAATAATTATGCCAACTTTTAGCTGAGTAGATTTTATGTATAAGTTTATATGACACTTCTTTAACTTTATTAGTAATTATGTATCGGTGAGGTATTAGCCAGATCTTCTTCCATTAAATGTCTTCTAAAAAAAGGCTCCAGTACGAAACAACATGAGGCAGTGTAACAGAATCATTTTGGAACAATTTAATCCTAATTTCTCTCTCATTCATTACAACCACCTCACACGTCACTCGCAGGGCGGAAGTGACGAACGTAGCCAGGAGCGTGACGAGGGGTTGCTTGGAAATACAACAAGGAAGTAGATATTTAGCTGCATTAACGGTCAAATAATATTAATAAAAAGATATTGTTTAAAAATAATCTTTGAGGTGGACCGGCGGCTGTAGTGAGTGTCGGGGGGGTGTAGTCGTGTTGGACTTACCCGAGAGCCCGCAGCGGTGTCTTTTACATAACCGAGTCCAGCAATGAACACGGACGTGGAATTTCACATCAGACAGAATTATCCGTGGAACAAGCTGCCCGCAAATGTCAAACAGGTAAAATTACGGCGCACAACAGCTCATAAAACAAGCACGCTGTGGATTTCGGGCACATTTCCTTCTCTGGTCACTTGTCATGTATTCAGTAGTATTGCTAGCTTCCTATTCGCCAGCTTCTTGTTCGAATTTCCCCGTTCCACCTTAAATGGTGCAGCACTTACAGTTACATGTATTCGAATTTTCTCATGTAACGTGATTACTGCACCATTTAAGGTGGAACGAGAAAATTCGAATAAGAAGCTGATTTCAGCTTCGTGGTCCACTTGCACTCAGCTAACCGCATCATCATCCTCATCATCCGCATCATCCTCGTTATCCTCGTTATCCTCCTGCTCACTTCCAGTGATCTGGACATCAGATTCCTGTACAGTAGAGTGGGTTCCGTGAAAACATCATGCAGCATGTCCGTGTCGATGGTTCAGTCTTAACTGTAAAACCATTCAGGGTAATTGTAGGAAAGCTGCATGGGGTCGTTTGCCAAGTTTGCCAACACTGAGCCCTCTGCTGCTGCTGCAGGTGCAGTCTTTTAGTTTATTTACGTAGTGCTTCTTACATCTGACATTGTCCGAGTCCAGACCCCTAATGAGCAAGACGAGGGCGACTGTGACAGAAAAAAAAACTCCCTAATAACCTAATAAAACTATGAGGAAGAAACACTGAGAAGAACCAAATAAGAGGCCCATCCTCCTCTGGTCAGTATTGGATGGTAGAATTATGATTAAAGATGAACTATTCACTTGTTAGGATGTAAACAAAGTAATTCAGGGTAGTTTGGTATGAAACACTGCATTCTAGAGA